TGAAAAAAGTGTCTAGTTTCAGTATTAAAAATGAACTGTTGAGTTTTAAGAAAATTGGATGTTACCATTAAATTCTACACACTTTCAAATGTATGAAAAAACTTTAAAATTTCAAAAAAGCATAGAAAATAAGGTACACACATGTATGCAAACAATTAAGTGAAAAAGTGAAGAATTGGTTGAAAAAATGGTGTCAAATGCAGTATTCAAGATGTAGTTTTCATTTTAATGCAAAATGAATTTTACCATAATTTTTTACATGTCTTAGAGTGTAGGAAAAAAATTTAAAATGTCAAAAAAGAATGAAAATTAACCTGTAGAAATTTAAGTGAAAAAATGTGTCTAATTTCAGTATTAAAAATGAACCGTTGAGTTTTAAAAAAATTGGATTGCACCATTAAATTCTACACACATTGAAACCTAGGAAATAATTTTAAAATTTCACAAAAGCATAAAAAATAAGGTACATACATGCATGCAAACAATTAATTGAAAAATAAGTGGAAAAAAAAATTAATAATCAAAATTCATTTTTATGGAAAATGGACTTTACCATTAAATTCTACACCTTTCATAGTGTAGGAATAAATTTTAAAATTTCGAAAAAACTCGAAAAATAAGCCGTAAAAAATTAATTAAAAAACCGCGTCTAAAAGCGGAAACCACGTGTGCTGCGGCGCATCAAAACCGCGTCAAAACGCGGAAAAACCGCGTTTTTTTATTAAGGCCCTTATTCATTACTTTTTTCATTATCTTACTATTATAAGTACAGACTACATACACGATGCAGAAAGATATATACAAGATTAAGTAGAGGAGTTTTAAAAAGAAATACATAGTGGATCTGCCCTTTTTTGCCTCTCCAGGGAAAAATGACGGGCCGACCCGACCCAAACCCGACTTTTATCTATTAGAGTCGGGTTTGGGCAACATTTTTGTGAATGCAACCCAACCCGCACCGACCCAATGTAAGTGTTGAGTCGGGTTTGGGCACTGATTTTTGACCTGAACCCGACCCGTTTGCAACCTGACCCCCCCCCCCAAATTTGGGGCAAAATCAGGTACCTAGTAGCGCACCTGGCACCTCCTGGGCGGTGCCACAGGTACCTCTGGCAGGTACCACAGGTACCACCTTGACTCTTGGTTTGCTTGCGAGTGTGACTCTTGGGAGCCATGGTTGTCAACTGTTGTGATCAGTTGGGTGCTGTGGGCAGCTCAAGGGGACCAGGACAATATTCATCAGGGATATTGATATATACATCTCATTCACATGTCACATTCTACCTTCCCGCAGCCCCTGAATATCCCTGGGGGGTGAGCGGTACCAGGGTACTGCACCACTTTCTGGCCAAATTCAAGTACCTAGTACCGCACCCCGCACCTCTGCGCGGGTGCAAGACAGGTGTGAGGGGTACCTGCCAAGCGGTACTAGGTACCTGTCGCAGGTACCGAATGACTATCTCTAGTGTAGTGTGTGACAATTTCTATTAGTATTATTCTACTTTAGTTGACACATGATGTAATTGGCTATAAATATGCATCATGATGTCATGGGACATAGAATATAATTTTATTAGAAATATTACAACATTCCCATTAAATCGTGGGATTATTTCTACTGTTGTACAGTCTCCTCCCAGATGTTTATAGCCATCTGTTTTGAGCTCTACACCGGGAACCCAAACATTTCAAGTCACAAGAATTTGTGGAATGGTGGAAAATGGGTCTCAAAGAATGAATATGAAAAAATAATAACAAAAAATAAGATTTTAAAATTTGTAAAAAGTAAAAAGGAGAAAATCACAAAAACTGACAGCCTCAATTTTTCTTTCAGGAAAAGATGAACTGTCCAAAGTGATAGTATGAGATCTGGAATGAATGATAAAAAGTGAAAATTTGGAAAAAAATGACTACTTGGTGGTTTAAAAAGGGTGCCTAGGGGGTCATTCATCAAGAAATTTGGCATTCTGGTACTGCAATCTACTGATTTTGACTGCAGGGTGTCCACCCACCATGCTGAAACTTTTTTTGGATCAATATTTTTCATTTATAATCATTCTTTTCATGTTCCAAACTTGCCTTTTGTCTATTCACTTTTCACTCAAACAAAAAATTAAAGTTTTCAAAAAAAGTTGATTTTCTTTTATCTTTTTCACAAATATTGAAATCTTGTTTTCTATTATTATTTTTTCATATTCATTCTTTGAAACGTTTTTTCCACCATTCCACCAAATCTTGTGACTTGATGTTTTTGGGTTCCCTCTGTGGAGCTCAAAACAGATGGCTATAAACATCTGGGAGGAGACTGTACATTAAAAAGGAGATTCTAGAATATTCTAAGAAATGCCCCCAAGGGGTCTCTAGAATATTTAAGGAGGCCTTTCTCCTGCCTAGGATGGATTCCTCAGCATATTCACCCCCAAAAAACTAAGTGATTACAGCAGCGGTGGGCCGCTACGCTTTTGGCCCAAAAAGTGTAGCGTAGCGGCGCTTTTTTTGCGCCAAATTTTTGTAGCGTTAGCGCTTTTGTAGCGCATTTTCGCTACGCTATGCTGCGCTACAGCGCTTTTAGCGGAAAAAGCGGCTAAAAGCCGCTAAAAAGGGCTGTAGCGCAGCGTAGTGGGCCCTTTTTTGTGGCCCACACGCGTAGCGTTAGCGGTATCGTGGCGGAATTCCGCTACGCTACGCTTAACGCTAACGGGAATTCCGCTGCGTTACGCTACACTAACCGCTACGGTTAGTGTAGCGGCCCACCGTTGATTACAGTGAATATTCTCCACCTACTTTTAGAGTAGTCTTTTTATCCAATCCAACCCTACCTTCTTACAGGAATTATTATTAAGCTGAGAGTTATCCCACACTCAAAACTTAACTAATTCCTTAAAAAGTAGTTGCTGCAAGACCACCACCTCTGACTGTAGCCTTTCAGCTCAGGTGCTTGCCAGTTACTTCTTGCAATATTAATTATTGCTTCCAAACACTCTACAATAACATATTCTGTTATTGTCTCCTACAGTGCTCTCTTGATTATTCAAGTGTCATTAACTGAGGAGTGTGGAATTTTTAACCTCTTAAGTGGGAAGTTTGGACCACTTAATACTTTGAGGGTGACTAGGAGTAATCTTGGTCTTTAACCTGAATCCTTCAGCACAGTGATTGTACTTGGCTCTTATATTATTAAGCCAAAGTTTCATACACATAGCTGACACAAATTGCCATTTTTTTCCTGGGGTAAAACTGGTATTGGTTGTAGTGATAGCAGGCCCTTTTTTGGGGCCTATGCATGCTGCAGAATTCTGCTACGCTAAACTATTTTTCAGCAGAATTCCGCTCTCTAAGCTGTGCTAATGCTATGGTTAGTGTAACTGGCCCATTGCTGTCTTTGGGGCCTGTGGATATAGAAAATATCCACCACTCTCTTTGTGTGTGTTGGAATTTTGACCCCATAACAATTCCTTAGCATTCATCATCTCTTCCATTTTCTTACTTTTGGTCTTGTTTGATCATTAGGATCTATTCTCTCATTGTTCTTGAATTATTCTTCATTAATGTCTGCCCTGTCATTCTGTTATGATGTCTGCACCCCTAGCTTGTAGCAACACTGAAACAGAGACAAGAAATGTATTTGGTATCATCTTGTATTGTATTTATTGTGAGCCTGATTGTTTGTTGGTGAGAAAATCCACCATCTTGGATTCAGATTTACAAATGCAAAAAAATTGTCTTTCTTTTTTCTTCTTTTTTCTTCAACATGGCCAAATATCATGTGTATCAAAGACGTTTTGGGTGGGATCATTCCTCTCAGACAATACAGAAAACGGGTCTCACTTTACAACAACAATATGTGTGTATTGTCTCATGAAAGTGAGACAACACAAAGGCGGTATTTTTGGGTATTCAAATTCTGAGACAATACAAATAAAAACCTGATACCGTCTTGTATTTTCTCTGTTTCAGTGTTGCTTGTAGTCTTAGAGCCCTGACTAAGAAAGGCTTGTTGTCTCTCATATATGCAGATTTATCTTCTTGGATGTAGTACTAGAACCTTTTTTTCCAATGCCTATGATTGTACCCTCCTGTTCCTTCTTGACTTTTTGTTTTGTTTTTATTCATTATTATTTTGTTCATCATATCTTCTACCACAACTTGATCCCATTGTATCTTGTCTATCTTAACTAGCCTAGTCATTGAAATCAAGCCCCCTGATTGGTTCTCATTGAGTTTCAACCACTTTTTTGTCCCCCCAAAAAGCACTTGAGCCTGTTTGATTTCTCTTCCTATGTCCAAGCTCAGATCCACTTCCAAAAAATCAATTGGATCTATTCTAGATCAATCATCCCCATGCATAATCATATTTCAAACTTAAACACTTGAATACATCATAAGTCCCTTGCCCACTGGTATGTAAATATGAGTTTGATACTCTGCTACTTGCAGACTTTGCCTGTGCCATCCAGATTCCCAGGGCGTCTGGCATCCAGAAGCTTGTATCCAAGGCAAGTTTGCAATGGCTGAACTAAACACTCCCCCAACAATTATGGATGCCAAGATCTTGCAAGAATGACAAAAAGAAAGGAAGACAACAAATTGACCATGTAGTGTTTTCATATACATATTAGGGGGAGGGGGGGTTCACATTTGAACTTGAGAGCCTTTTGTATGGTGTTTGTAAGCAACATCTTATAATTTTTTTGAATTTATCAGATATAGCGGTTTCTGAACTTTCTGCACATCCCAAAAAACATGTATTGTTGATCAGAAACACCTTAAAAATAGCTCCAAAGCTCAATTGTGAGCCCTCTATTAGGGCTTGGGTGTTGGATGCAATCAGATGACAATGAAGGCTGCATATCATGTCAAATCTAATCATGAGGTGGGACCTAATTATTTGATCAAGTTGTGCAAGCATGACAAGAGGTACTCAATCTAGCAATGTTACATTGAGGTCCAGCAACATGATGGAGTTGTGGGACTGATGATTTTTTTTTTCAAAAAAAAAAAAAACAGTCCGTTGCATGTATTTCTGGTGCTTCAATGGACCCACCAATCCAAGCAATTCATGTCTCTAATCCACAACTATGGACGGTTAGGCAATAAACAAACAAATGTGTTTCTTTTCTCTATGTATGTATATATATGTGTAGTTTTCTATTCTATTATGAATAGGTTGCAACAAATACCTAAGTTTCTTTCGTCCACTCTACTTTTTTTGTTGATCTTTTGGTTTTTGCGGGTTGAATTCAGAATATGAATTTGTTATGCAGTGGATCAACAAAGATGAACTGAAAAGAAAATAATGGTGAAAAAAAATGGAGAGGTTTTTTATTCCCCAAGGGGGAGGAGTGATTTGAACTAATAGTTTCTGAATTGAGAGGACAAACCCAAGCCGCCCTTTGTGTTTTTCATGACAGCCATGAGGGGTTTTTGGAGGGCGGTGGAGTTCTGGGGGTCGCCGATAGTCTGACCGAGCGACCAACCCATCTTCGTCAACAACTTAAACCCGACGTTTTCCGCGCCGATGTGAGCGACGCCCTGGCCGACGAGCGCGCCCTCCCTGTTCCTCGGCACCTGGCCGGTCGTCCCATGACGGTTGGACGGTCCACCATTGTTGGTGAACTGGTTCAGGATCCGGAACAGCGGCTGGCGGCTCGGTAGGATGTGCGTCGTTCGATGCGTCCGCGTCAGCACCGGATACCTGCGCTTCCCTGAGCCATAAGACTGATCACAAATCCTTCGCTCAGCTCATTTCATACACTTCCTAACCTAGGCTGATCAAAAAAATGAAGGGAAAAAAAATGCAGATCTTACTTGGCTTTTCATCTTGTATAGGTTCGCGATTTCGTGGATGGCTGCTCGACTCTTCTTGTCCACAGGGGGCAAAGTGAGGACTTGTTGGTCGGTTTCAAAGCAGATAAAGTCTCTGATCATCTCGTTCAACTTAGGCACATCGGGCGGCGGATTAGAATTAATAGATTCTCGGCGGGCCTCCTTCTTCTTCTGTTTCTTCGTCTTGGCCACGCTGAGCAACCGGGCCTCGGCTCGTGCTTTCTTCTTCTCAGCCTTGCGGGCTCGGTCCATCTTCCATTTCTTCTGCAGATCATCGATGAATTCAATCAGTTCCGAATCCGAATCATTCACATTCATCTTGTCCCCTTTCTTTTGTCTTTGCTTGCCCTTCGAATCTTTCGCTGTTTGATTAAACGCACAAAAACGAAGGATTAGCTTTATGCGAGGAAGATGAAAAAAAAACTACAAGGAATTTGGATAAATGTTTTACCAAGAACACCCTCCACCAATGCTGAGACCTCCTCTTCATCTTCCGAATCCTCACTTGATTCGGTTGATAGATCGGTCGACATCTCCAACGATTTATCTAGTGGTAAAGATTCGTCGATGTCCTGAGTAGAAATAGACAGTTGATTAACGGCTCCCTTTTTGGTTGTTGTAATCACTCGCGGATCGTCATCAAGCTTACCTCTTCGTCCTCTATGCTCTCATCATCCGACTCAGATTCTGTCAAACGATCAACGATTTCGATCAATCGGGTATCGGTTGGAAGAAAGTTCGATTCAACTTAAACACATATACAGAGAGGAGAGAAAAGCAATGAGCTGAGACTGGAATGAGAAAAAAAAACAAACCAGTGGTGTCTGAGATATAAAGATCCAAATCATCGATTTTTTCTTCGAGGGAGTCCATTTTTTTATCCAAAGAGTCCGAGTTGTCGCTATTCCAACCACGCTGCTGACCCAGAATCTCGTCGTCGAGTTTATCCTGAACAGCTTGGTCGAGTTCGGCGATCGTAGTATGTTTCTGTTGGGCAGCCATGCCATCCATGAATGTTTTGGTGAAGCTATCGTTGAGGAACGTGGTGGTCGCGTTTTTCCCGTCGGCCTCATCCCCTGATTGATCGATCATAGCATGCTTGATATAATCCTCACAGAGCTCCATCTCCTCCTTGTTTTTATAGACACTTCGTTGAGCTTTGTTCGCCGAATTCTGGGGCTCCTTTTCTGCCGACCCGGAGGGTGGCAAGATGGACTCTTCGACACTGTCGGATCCCCAATCGATATCACTTCCACTGTCGAGCTGATCAGGACGATGGGTAGCAGAGGGGTCGTAAGGCCGATCGTCTCGGGCACTTTTGCGTCGCTCTTTCCTCGCATGCCGTTTTTGGGCCTTGATGTCTTTCTTGGATGGCTTGGATGCCAATGATTTCGCTTGGCTTGGGAGCGGATCTGAGGCTGGTTGATTGGAAGACACGACGAGGACTTCGTCGGTGATCGTTCGGAACAGATGCGAATCCTTGGCCTGGGATTCTGTGGTAATGCTTTGATCTGGTTGGAAGACGATCCGTTCTTCATCATCATCCGTCTCTTTCTCGATCGATAATTTTTCGAGCTTGGGCACTTGTACCGGAGGGTATTTGACCCGATTCTCCGAATCTCCCTCGGCATCGATGAAAAATAGAGCGTTAGAGGATAAAACGATAGAGTTGGCGCTTGGTTCTGCCTCCGAAGTGGATTTCGAAGCCTGGACGTCGGACTCGGAGGGTACGACCTCCACAGTCTCTGGACCAGTTGCGGGCGATCCGGTCGACGATACTTTGGACTGAGCGAGATCTGCTTTGGATTGATCAGAGATATCAAGAGGCTTAGAGCTCTCGTCGTTGTTAGGGATAGGCGACGCCGTCGACTTGGTTCCAACCACTGGCTGAGACACTTCCTCTGGCCGCGGTAATGGAGGCTCGTCTTCAGAGCTGATGGCCGGTTGAGTCGGGTTCGATGGCAATGCAATCGCTTGGACGTTAGATGGTGGGGAGTGAAAGGTACCATTCGGAGAATCTTTCTTGAAAATCCCCGGGAAGTCTGTTTGCCACTTTTCGACGCACGCTGGAGTAACCTCCTCGATTTCCCATAGACGGTCACTGGGAGAAGGGGGCGTGGGTTCCGGAACAATCTCGGGAAGACATGGCTGGATGTTCTCCAAGACTGGGGATGTCTTTTGGCTTCGATCACTCTTCGACTGGGATCCAGGTTCGATCGAATCGTCTTCCAAGGGCTCTTTGGGAGGGTTTTCTAACAACTTGTTGGTTAATGCTGTGGCCTTGACGAACTTGACTGGTATCCATAATCGGGGGTCACTAGTTCCTCGAGTGGTTCGTGGGACCTCTGGTAGTGGTGAGGACGGATTGGCAGTCGGTCTGGAAGAGGTATTGAGATGGAAGCCAAGACCTCCTCCCCTGGGCGTTGGATGGTGAGAAGCCTGGAAGGGCTTGTTACGTGGAGGATAACCCCGAGGAGTTGTATGTCCCGATCCACTGGACCCATTGTTGGAGTGAGCTGGATACGCAAACAGATCAGATAGATATTGACGATTAGTTCATTCCAGACAGACATCCGATCCCATCATTTGGAGAAAGACATACACCATGAGTTCTGTGCTCCTCGACCCCTTCCACCCCAGCCATTATTGCCACGGCCTCTACTGGCATGAGGATGTTGGTAGACACCGGTCGGCGCAGGAGATGGAGCAGGGGGATACTGATCGAGTGGATTCGGATTGAAGTCGGTCGTCCCATTGAAGCTGCCTCCACCCCTCCCTCGTCCTCGTCCTCCTGTCTGGAATCCTCCGCCTCGACCTCGGGCACGATATGGCCCTGGTGAGCTCTCGGCCTGGTCTCTCGGGAAGCGGGCCGTGTTCGTCCCTCGATAGCTCATCGTCCTTTGTTGTTGTTGCTCTGTCCGATGTCGTCTGGAGCTGGCCGACTGCCTTTCTCTGCTCCGGGCCTGCCACTCTCGAGTTCACTCGCAATTTTCAGACGAAAATACTCCCCCCGGCCTTGCCGACGGACGCCCCGATTCCCACGCTTACGTCATGCTGAGATGTCCGAGCGGTCTAAGGAGCTGGATTCAAGTCTCTCATCACGGCTTACATGATCAACGTGTGCTTCCCAGTAGAGAAATCTGCGGGGGTTCGAATCCCCCTCTCAGCAGCTTCTTTTTGACTCCCCCGATCATCACCCCAGCGATGATGATGAAGGAACCAAGAGGATCTGTTGATGCCACAGGACTGATGGGACTGAGAAGACTAAATTTTTGGACAAAAATCTAGTGATCAAGGACATATACTGGGCAAGTCAAGTGTGTTCTGACATGTCATCTCACTCTCAGGGATTAGGAAACTTACATGGACATCCTTCTTGTAAGCCCAATATAGCAGAAAGAATCATCAGTGTGCTTGCATAGACTATACTATCTGGAAGATTGTGATTAGCTAAACTTCAACCTTTGCATGCATAAAAAATGTGCAAGAAAGCAACAAGTAGGATATCAAATGTTGGGCATATGTAATGGGAGCTAATAAGATATATCAATTCATTATTGGAGGGTGGAGAATTGATGATTTAGTCAGAACAGATATCTTAAAGCATGTGTTTCTTACTCCTTCCCTTTTATTTTCCCCTGCTCATAATAGAAGGGGGATGATGCTTTCTGATGCAGGTGTGATACCTTGTTTACTGGTATACTGGTATTGATAATAAACTTTAGCCCGTCACACACCTGAATTATAACACATATGCTTACTGAATGTCTACAGTGCACTTCACCTCTTCTTCAAATTTGAATACCCTGCCCTTGCAAAAAAACACCAACTTTGAGCTGTATGTTTGGATGTAATTCTCACAGTACAATGAGGTAATACACATCAAAAAATCCTACAACAAGCACAGAACAAAAAAAGTATGTAGTACATACTTACCTGTAGGAAGCCCCAAAAAATATTTTAACCTGTTAGAGGCAATTTTTTGCCATGTACAACATATTTTTGTGTTCTGTGTTCAATGTAGTATCTTCTGGTACATATTACTGTTGTAATTTTATCTCTTTTTCTTCTCATCCCTAAAAAACTCATCTATCCCACTGTTAAATTAAATATGATTTGATAAATAATTTACATGATTTTTAATTTGTTTTTGACAGTTTCTGCATGGTATCTTGTTATGTTGTCTAGTGCTGAAATCCTTACAGTCTTTGAGCCCTGGTCTAGTCTTTATCAACTTAAATTTATTCCGGTCATCTTTTCAAGCATATGTTAACCTGTCCTGTTCATTTTGATATTCATTTTTCTCAACCACATGTTTGACCTCTTGTATGTAGACTATTTAACGCGTAGTCTCCTCTAAGTAAAAATACATTGGCTCTCTCACTCCTTTTCCCACCCTTGAGCCACTCCAACAAAAAAACAAATTTTTGTTGCCCAAAAATTCTCTGTGTCTTTCTGTTAAAATTTCTTCAATTACATACTTGTAATGTGAAAATGGCTGCAAATTTGTCATTTCTTGAAGGGCTGGGGTAGTTGAGAAAAGGTGATGTGCACTGAATGAAATCTTGCTGATGAGGGGTCCATGTTGTAGAGATACTAGCTTGGGAAACTTGATGCTGACTGACAAAGTGAGAAGAGTTGGGGAATCTAAGGCATGGTCCCGGGGTTTGGGACGGGGCTAGAGGGTCATCCTGAGGAACAAACCCCGGGAATTCCACGTCTGCCCCAAAGCCCCGGGGCTTGCTGCAATTTTTTTTTCCTGAATCAATGATGGCACTACGGCCCAGCACTACCTACCTATCTCAACCACAAGTGCTGTGTTGATATTGGTTTTTGTTTTTTGGCCTTTGATGGCCCAGTGCAACCTTTTTTTTTCTTTTGCAATGAATCCCACATGTGAAAATGAAAAAAAAAACTGTTATACGCGCCTAAACAAGGCAAAATCAGGGAAAATCCCTGTAAACAATGAACCCTGGGGTTTTGGGGTTTTGTGAGGCCCATTCCAATTCCTGAACCCCGGGGCTTGGGACCAGGGCAGCCCCGGAATCCCAAGGTTTGGGACCATCCCTTAGGGGAATCTCCCACAGCTGATTGGCAAGGTATAGGTATGCATATGTACTGAGCCCATGGCCCCGAGTCCTGAGGCAAAAATGTTAATCATGAATACGTATTACACAGATTCAACAACATCAATCAAGAAAGCACAAATCAGCAAAGTCAAATGTGCAAATTGACCAAAGAGAATCTTAGGCAACACCACCAACATGTACATTGATGATCACTGTGAAGATAAGAAGGATAACTGAACTATGATTGTATATCTAGACTCATTTGTCAAAGCCACAACAGACAAAGAAAAAGCTCTTAACCTAAATGATCCAAACGGCAAAGAAGGTGGTAGTACTACTACTAGTAAAGAAAGATCAATATCAATCTACAAAAAGACATTTTTGATTAACAAACAGGAGACAGCTTACTTTTTTGCATCAATACTTTCTCTTTTTCTGTTATAGACATGAAATTCTCACAATCAGAGCAGCCTACCAGGCATAATGTTTTCCCTCTATAGAATTGTTTTCTTGATCTAAAATCATTTGTAGATTATAGTCTCTGTTGAAATTAAGACCAACTGAAGGGAAATTTTTTAACAACAAAATTAATTTGTTGGATTGGCTTGGGGGGGGGGGGGGAGAGAGAAGAGGGAAAGCACCAATGGTGTTAATTTCTTATTAATTAAATGGCGACAGGAAGTCCTCCATTATTAGACTACAAGATGGGGGACAGACTTAATAACAAGAGATAATGTCAGGCTATCAAGGAGAAGACTTGAAGCAATGAGAGTGTAGATCTGCAAAGCTCAAGCTAATCCTTAGGGAAAAATATATCAGAAATGACAAGAAATGAAGGAGGGCCAAGTAAGACAATGAAATTCCAACAATCTCTAAATCAGCAATAAACTATCCTAGTGTTTTGAATTCTTTCACATGTGAGCCTCTCTATTAGGGCAGCTCACATTGAGCACTTTGACATCAATTTGCTGATGCTGATGATAAAATTTCCATAATCAAGCAAAGCCTCCTAAACCTCAATCAACCAATATCTCATCATTCGCAATGAACATGAAAATCCAACAATTCCAGCCTGAGCTTAGGCCTCAAGATTAAACATTTGACTCGGGCCATTGGAACAAGGCTCCCTTTAATAGGAGCTGTGATACTGATCATGTTGTGGCTGTGGTTGTGCCAGTGGGGTTTGTAGGCCTTCACAGTGGAAATGCGCTAAGCTCAAATCTTCAGTCTGTTTAATTTGAATAGGTCACCCCAAAATCCTAGAAATTATGCAAAATTTGACCTTACAAGCTGGGCAGTTGCCCATTTGCCCGGCTCAACTGCTATAAATATTTTGGTAGAGAGGTTAGGATATCATGCTAATTTTTTTTTGCCAAGCATCCCGGCCGGTGCAAGCAAATATCCACCTACATCCAATGATGTAGGTGGTGGAGTGCTGTAGGTCTTGAGGATTGCACCCGGATTTAAAACTCCGGAGGCTGCAAAGAAATATGATCATAACAACAACGGTACATAAAAATTAACGATGCAGAACGTCCAGCGCAGACCAACTTTGTAATGTTGAGAAGTCCAAGTCCTGGTCTCTTCATCAGGCTACATGACAGCCCGATTACAAATTCAAAAACTGCGCGTTCTTTGTTCCTCTGACGATTAACAATGGTCATCGTGACCACAGTCACACCCAAGCGATGGCCAATGAGCACACGTGTCACGTGCAATCCGAAGACTGGCGGGGAAGGACCCATCTTGAACTTGTGCATCTCCGACCCTTCAGATCCTCCAGGGACTTCTGGAAAACGTTCACCTCTTCGCTGTGGGCTGCCGCTGTGGTGCCTCCACGCCTCCCCAGACAGTGGCAGACGCTTGCTGCCACTGCCATCATGATATGCAGACCGGTTGCACGCAACCTCAACTCCGTGGATGTGGATTTCTTTGCTTCGCTAACGGTACATTATAGATCGGTGAATAACAGTGCTTTTCATTCCCAGATCTGCAGGGTGGACTTTTCTACAACAGACCTTTTCTCATGTCCTCAGCCAAGTAGACCCTATCAAAAATAAGACCTGTACAACATCCTTGATCTTCACGAGATCCATCTAAATCCCCTTATTTTGTGCATGTTTCCGCTGCCCACGGAATTACTGACTCTAGATTAGTCCCAACATGTGTAATTCCAAGAGTACTTTTCATGCTTGAAACTTGAAAGTAAAAGTAAGTTTTTTAGCTCCAATATTACACTCAAGAGTCCAAGACATTAGCCAAACAGCAGCAAATAGCCCCCTACGGCTGCCACTCCATCCCTTTCCCGATAGCTATAAAGTGATGCAGACTTCCTGAATTTTGGACATTACCGCGGTTCAATATCCACCAGCATAAAACATAGTCCAAGATGCCCTCCGGAGCCCCATTTGGCCGCTGTCGATTTAATTCGTCTGTTCATCCAATTATCGAAATCGCCACGTATCAACATGCACCATCCATGTCAACCAACAATCAAGCCGACATTGCTTTGACAGCTTCTCCTTACAAAAATAACTTCAAGGACCAACGACCTTACACGGCTGAGAGTGATAATCGCACTGTATGCTTGGATCCATCGGAGCAACCTGACACTACGTTCCAAAAGAAATATCCTACTATACCATGGGGAACCTTTGAGGAAGAGAATGATCGGCATGTGGAGCCGGAACAACACAATCCCGGTGGCGGTGATGTGAGTGGATCAAGAAGTACACTGTCCACTTCGACCAAGCGACTCGATTTGATTATTCTTCCCTTGACTTCGTTGATATACGTGCGCTTTCATATTCTTCTTCTCATTCCGAGGGTTTTTTTTCAGTTTGTGTTAGCTGCTAAGGCAAAGTTATACATTATTCTTAAATACTAGCTCTCAGATTACGTTCAAAGATCAAACATTGGAAACGCTGCAGTTTACAGTTTAAAGGCATACGCACTGGATAATAGCCACTGGTGCTATGCGTTGGTCCTTTCCAGGTGAGCGAAGGGGGCTTAACGGCTTCCCGCCATTTCTACTCTTCCTATCAAGAAATCACTATTAAGCTAGAATACTAGTAGGAAATTCAATCACAACTCCAGGTTGTAAGAGCCTCGTGAGCTTCGCCGACGCATTTATTGACTAATTTCTTGGGTTCCCAGTTTTTCCATTACCTACTTGTCATTTTCAATTGGTGCAAATATAGTCGTTCCCAAATCTCGGTCTCCAAAAAATCTACTCTCATGTGCAGTCCTTATTACTAGTATTGCGACCATCATAATTGGTTTTGCTTCAAATTTCGCAACCATCTTCATCTGTCGAGTTGAGTTCATTTCCCTGAATGTGAGATTCTGATTTCCAACCTTACGCTGAATTTTCTTCTGCCTTCACAGTCTTTCATTGGCATGGGAGGGGTAAGCGTTTCTAAAACAACCAGGAAGACGTGATTGGCATGCCATACGTCTTGTTTATCAAATGATTTCTTTCAAAGGCAATTCTAGGTAAAAGCATGGAATCTTACTACTCGTTAATGTAAGCATTTTCACGAATAAAAATGTTGGATAATGATTTTTCAAACATGAGATAAACGCACTTCCTAAACAGATACACCCGCACAGAGATGGCGAAAAGAATGTCGTTTTTCATCGGCTCAACTGTTTTGGCTGGAGCGTGAGTGATCGAGCTTTTGGGTTTTCATCTTTCAAAGTATTCAAAAACCAAGTGAAAAACGCGATGACTAATTTCTTGCCTGCTTGGTTCTATAGTTTGAATGGAATCTTCGCGTAAGCTCCTGAACAATACTATCCTGACATTTATTCGTTTACTCAGCTCTAACACAAACATTATTCCGTAGATATGGAACTGGTTTCATTAAATCAGAAGCAAAGACTTGGAGATTTCTGTGAGTTGAACATTTTCTACTTTCGCGGGAGGAAATTGGAATTAATTTTGATCGAGAAATCCATGTGTGCGTGGGGTAAAAAGATTTTTCATCGAAGGAGCTCAAGGCATCGTATTGGCATTAGCATGCCTCTTCTGCCTCCCATCATCAAAGGTCAAGAGGAGACCTGAAACAACTTCTCAAGTTCAAATCCACACCCAGGGTTCTTTGTCCGAAATTAACTCTTTCACTTTAGAATATAACACGTTTGAATGGAGAATTGCTTTAAAAGCTCTACTCAATCCAAATATCTGGATCTCTTCCGTGAGTTAGACCACTTTTCTTTTGAAGACGGCTTCATGAGTTATCCAATACCACAGAAGTTGCCACAGCACTCAAGCTTTTCGGGTTTTTTTCCATGGGATTCACATAAAAACGTAAAGTTTTCGTACGGATGTGTGAATTTGAGTGTCGGGAGTTTGACTGGATATCTCCCGCTTATTATGGAATCGTTCGTATTTTGCTATTCTATGATTCTTCGACCTACCCTTTACCCCGCTTGCGATCTCAACGGAGGTGATTTTTAACACTCAATCGTTGAATTTTACTGATTTATTCTTGATTAAAACTCGTAGGTTTGGACATTCGCCTAGGCAATCCCAACTGTTGACCGCTTGGCCATACTTGGTTGCGTTTGTCGTAATGTTTTTGGTCGCAAACGCATCTGATCGCACCGGAGTAAGGAGCATTTTTGTCATAATCATGTGCACAATCGGTAGTGTCGGATGGACGCTTTTGCTACGATATGAAACTGCTTGGGTTACATACTTCGCCACATTCTTGGTTGTGGCTGGAGCAGTAAGTTGAAGACTCTCATTCTTATGAATCTGTTTTTCTTATGACTTGCTCTGACACTTTTCTATGTTTGCTGCTAATTAGTATTGTCCGATCCCTTTGTGAGCTTCATGGTTTCAATTCATGAGTTGTATCTTTGAAAAAATACTTACTGTTCTCTTCACGGCTGCCAACCACACAAACGACGGGTTTAAGAATTCTATCATGGACTCTGAGCAACTGTACTAGTAAGCCCATCAAAACTTGCCCACTGGTTGAAAAACCGCTTGTCAGATTCTGACACAAGCAAGCTTCTTGCTTCCTGACGCCTAGCTTACAATCAAAGGGCTGCATCTTTGTGAGCAAAAAGCTTTCATTTGTTGTGCTCGCTTTTAAAAAAAAGGTTCTGACATGGTGTTTGTGATCAGCATTCTCATGCAAACATTTGGACAAGTCTTCACAGTATTTTCCAACTTCATATTCCACGCACTTATCAAAGATAGCCCACAGAGTAGATTAGGCTATTTCATAAACTTGGTTGGTAACGCTTCTGCGGTTTTGGCAGTCAGTTACTTGGCAGCGTCTTATCGTTATTACAATTGGAAAACTGCCCACCAAGCAGCTGTTACTAATGATCGTGAGTGCAAACTTTCTGCTTTCCGACTCATCTTCAAAGATTCTAACTTGATTTTCGGCCATCGCAACTCTTCCATCTTGATAAACAGGCTTCATGTATTTCCTATGACCGGATGGGCAAGTTGAAGTACCACATAAATGCCGTTTTTTTCACATTCATTGCATGTATCGAGTGCGGTCGCACTCCATCCTTCATCCTTTATGCAGACAACTGTTCGTTGCAAAATTGAATTTCCTTCAGCAATCGTCGCTAGAAGTGCGAATCCATTTTTTTGCACGGTCAGAGTGTATCACAACAAAAAGAAGTCAAAACCTGCTGCTGCTTGTGGGAATGAACGGGAAGCGCCGGTCCGGATCCTTTTCAGGCTGACTGGAACTGGGGACTATTGTTGCACACAACTGGGGATCTAGGGAAACAGTTAAACGATCCGCAACAATTGGAGGAATGGCCCCCAAAACCACACGCGTGTAACCCTGACTTAACTAAGCCTCCCAGGACTGGGGATGCAGAGCACCCCGATGCAAAGCATCTCCCATTCCCGACTTTTGGGGGTCGCCACTTGAGTTGTGGGACCAGCGCTGTGAAGAAGGTACATCCTCTTCGAGCGGTGTTTATCCACAGCGACCTGGCATACGCCGTGCCGATTCGCAAGACAGTGAGGACGGGTGACCCTTCCCCAGCAAGCTGGTACATGTCTTACATCCCAATTCGCTGAGAAGGATCCCTCGTTGGCGTTGGTGAGCTAGCGAAGTGAAAAGCTGATCCCGTCCCTGCGAAGGCTTGAACCGCCAACCTCTGGATGGATGTTTGCTTGAATACGCCTTCCTGGATTACCAGAATGGGGATCGAGTCTATTGCAGGCTACATCAGGAATCAAAATAGGAATCCCGGGATGGAGAAGTCCAAAACTCCCACCGTCTGGATCCTTCTCGGTAGATTGCTAGGGCTTGTACCAGCGGTTCAGTTGACTGAGGTTATAACCTCCGTGGAGATGATTGATCCTCTCCACGGAGTTGGTACAGGCCATCGTTTTCACTGAGCTAGTTCAGAACGGGCCAGCTCCCCAAGTAGGCTTTGTTCTCGGCGAGCTGGTACAGACCGCGCCAGCTCGGAGACTCGGCGAGGATGTATCGTGCTCGGCGATATGGAGGCCGTACCAGATACCCGTTGGACGGCCCCCGACGCCGCACCAAAAATCCACCCCCGCCGTCGCGGGACTTGATTGAGTTCGAGACTTACCATCACCCTCTGCAGCCGGTCAATCTAGCATAAGCACAATCAATCGCCTTGTTCCAGAGGGTCTGAGGGCCCGAGGGAGCCCGGCGTGCGGGGGCACCTCGCGAAACGAGCCTTTATTTTGTGGTTTGATAACAGCGGTGGATATCCTTCCCCTCCCCCCATGGGCGGCCCCGCCGAAAATAACCTTGCTCTCAACGTGAAACGGAGTACATAAATACATAAATAGTATCCTTGAAACCTGTTGAAGACGAGGACTACCTGCTTAAACAACGTCGGCACCGAACCAACGCGACCGAGGATCTAGCCAGCACTCTAAGGATTCATTTGCAGTACGTACATACAACCTTACACAACCTAAGGTCACATATCGCTCGGCCCCGGTGTCACACCGGGTGAGTTCTTGCTGACTGCAGGGAGGTTCGACGACGTGGCTCGTCATCTGGGGAAAAGGGACTCGCAAGACCACAATCTTGCTAGCAGCAGACATCGTTCCCAGGACTCAGGAGCAAGAGGCACGAAATAAATTGGTCGCTTGAGTGGCGTACTTTTTAAACATTCGCCCCCTGTGAATATCTTTTGAACTTGAAAGGCTTCCAGCAATTCTGCGATCATTCTGCCTTTCATCTTAATCAAACATACCATCCGACTGGCGGCCCGCTATTTACTTTTTTTCATAGCAAAAGTGAGTTGAAAGCTGTGAATTGATCCCGTTTTCGAATGTAAAGAGCAACTGATTTGTCGGTTTACATATATCAGATGAAAGCGGCTTCAAATCTCGTTTGCTTTCTCGGGGCTTTAGCCGCACTTGGTCCTACTATGACATACTGCAAAGGTTTGAAGTACCAGGACTTTTTGGTTGGTGTTCACCAGGTAACCCTGGATAATGGAAAATACGCCAATAGACCGGTCAGGATAAATCACACAAAGCACTTCCGATATTGCAATTGGAAGTGGAGTTCCATTGTTTCCATAGAAAATGGGAATATCTGGGTCACATTCCCAGTGGGTTATTACCTCATCCAAATTCAACAAGATGCAAGAACAATCGCTGTATTACGAAAATCGGATCTCTTAACTGAAAGTAGAGCACATGAGAAACACCGGGTCGCTAACTTGAAAAGTTTGACTAGAGGACAAACCAAAATAACAGTGAAGTATACTATTCTCGTTGATTCACTTCATGAATACATCACAAGGCAGGGGGGAAGTTTGTGAGTCATGCATCCATCTCTTCTTTATCTGTTCGAATGTTACACACTCACGGCGCTGAGGGGACCAGCAGTAATGGAATGGCTCATTGGATACACAGCCGAAATAAATGGAGGGATGTGGCTATAACGAGACGCGAAAGTCCCTCATTTCCTCATTTTTTGTTCGGCCAAAGTTTTCGTGGGTTGCTCACTGACACTAAATATAAGTCAGGGAATGATAGGTTAAGATCAGTCACCGCTGCTTGTCCCAAATATATTGGGACCAACTGTATCTTATTCGCCACTCTTCCGCTCCGTCATCATCCTTAATTTCTAGCAGTGCTGCTTCCAGATTTACAATCATCCCTTAACTTCACTGCTTATCTGACTGTGAAATTTTCTCTGCGACACTAGCTTGACCAACCCGCCATCTCGTGGTCCAATCTCAAGGGATGGACTAGTTCCAGTCATCACAAGTGCTAAGCATTTTTCTGAAAGTGCCGCAAAAAATTTTAAAATAAAATCTCAAAACCCAGTCAAAAATATCAAAGAGAATTGCGCAGGTCAATCTCGCATTGGCATGACCATCAAAAACATGGATCCCCCAAATGAAGAAAAAACACAGATGAATATAGAGTGTATTAGTAAACTATTTGATATTGCACAAGATGAGATTGAGGTTGACAAAGAATTGCAATCACTTCTCCGTCCAAAAGGCTCTAGCACCCAACTCAAAAAACTTCTGAAAGATGGAGCCAATATGGATGCAATCCTTTTACAGTTTGGAGTAAGTATCAGCAACAATTTTCTTGAGGAGATATTCAATAACAGTGTAGAACTAACATAATTTTTATTGTTGATAAAAATCAACCAAGGAGGAATCACATAAATCAAGGAATGCATTATCAATATCCCAGGTGAGGTTTATTTAAGGCTTCAAAGCTCATTGTACAATCTTACTTATCTGAGCATGTTTTTAGATGTTGAGGAAAACTTGTAACTTCTTGAAAAATTCAAAAACAAAAGGGATTGTGTCAGATGAGGTTAGGAAAAGCTTGTTATTTGTTTGTTTTAATTTCTTTGATTCATGGATCTCACATCATGTTTTTTGTCGCATATTCCACTTGAAACACAGGATAACAAATTACCTGGTTCTCATAGGCTCTCTGGACACCAAAATTCTTGGTGTTTGGATGACAAAATAACAGAATCAGAGCTTGAAAAGGAGCTTGAGCAATATCTTGATGAGCACTCAGATGAGGTAAACATGACCTCTTCACTGTTTTTGTCTTGCCAGTTTTTCTATATTTAGCTGATAAGAACTGTTTCATTTAATGTGGTAAAGGATGAATACATTACAATTGAAATGACTGATAATCAGTGGCCACAACTTCCCACAATTCCTGGAAACTATGCAGTTCCAAAATCAGAAAATAAGAATAAGTTTGACAAAAAGACCAAAAAAATTGAAGATGGAAAGCATTTTGAGTGGGTACTTGATGAGGAAACATCCACAAACCAAATTTCTAACAATCAGAAATATTCAGTGGATCAAAAATCTTCAGTGGATCAAAACTCTTCAGTGGATCAAAAATCTTCGGTGGATCCAAAATCTGGAACATTTCAAGCTTCAATTTCAGAAAATATGAGAGAAGGGATAAACCATGAAATTGGGACTCATGATTCCATCAATACTCAAGTCAAATCTAAAAGCATGTCTATCCAAGCCTCAAAATTAAAAGGTCCATCTGATGTTCCAACAACAAGAGAGCTGGATACTCTGTGCAAGAATGTGAAAGATCAATCAATTGCACCTGCTGGCTCTCAAAAAGCCAGGGAAGAAATTGCAAAGCCTCCTATTGAATTGATCAAACCTCATATCAAATTAAATCAAGATAAACTTTCTTTGAGGAAACAAAAAACAATATCTCATGCAATTGATACCTACCATAAAATGAAAATTAGTGATGAGGGAGTAAGACAAATCATAGAAGATTTCAGTATCCTAGAAGATGAATCCTTTGCAGCTAGACTTTTGGCTAATCAAGGAGATGAATGGCGTCTCAAATGGCTCCAAGAACATGCCAAGTTGAAACAGGCAGAGCTAGATGAAAAAGCAAAACTGAAAGGAAAGGCAGTTTTAAAAATAATGTAGTTGAAACTTGCAATGTTTTGATTTGAGCATCCAAGGGGAAATTAAAAATCTATGCTGAGGGAATTTAGTGAATCTATATCCAAGTTCATGTTCAACATATATTTGATTTTGAATCTGTGATTAAGAAATAAATACCAAGATATACCTGATTGACTTTTGTCAATTTTATTGCACATGTGTCTATACATCTTGGAATGTCCTGCCACAGATTTACTTCCAATTTGATAATTGGTCAGATTTTCTAGTTCTTTTCTTCAATCCAAATCCAAACCAGTCATTATATTCTTATGATAAACTTTTATCCAAATTACTGCTTGTCAAAAAATTGAATTTGATCCATGTTTCTTGTTTTCCTCCTTCAATTCATCATTTAATCTATCTTTTGCCTCAATGGTAAGACAGTTCCTTTTAATATGTAGTCAGACCACACTGCTAGAATAATTTTAATGAGTAAAATAATTTTTGATCTTCCAGTTTGTCTAAGGCTAGTTCTCTCCTCTTAATTGCCTCCTTCAAGGCTGAGCCCCTTTAACCCTCAAGATAGATTTTCTTTTAGCTTGATTCGCTATTTGGTTCTAGCTTGCTCCAATGATGATTACACCATTTCTCTCAGTGTTGTTTTAAATCAAAAAATAATATAAATTTGCTATCATCCTATGGATCAAAATTTGACATACCTTGAAAACATTTTTATTGAACCAAATCTTGTGAAAAACCAATCAGATTTATCTCTGTATGCATTATGTATACCTATTTTTGGGACAGTTCATCTAATGAAATTAAGGATACAATTGATTCTAAAAGTCAAATTACTCCTGGTGTGAAGTGAATTTGATATCTTCTGATCATGTGTCCTGCCTCATCCTGAATCCTGATCCAAGTGTTGATTGAACACATCACTCTTTTTAAGAAATAATTGATACTGATAGAAACACTTTCGTTGAGATATATCCCTCGGATCAAACAAGAAGTAACAACCACATGAAGATGCTATTTTTGCTCATCTTACCTTGTGTGTTCCCTAACTTCATGACTAGGAAGATGTTGAATTTCCTATGTATTGCTTTGATTGCCCAAATTGAGCCTCCTCCTTCGATCCGCAGTGATGACTGCGCCCGCACACACTCGATCAGAGCAACAGCCCAGACAGTCAGCCATCATCACCACCCTGTTGACCTCTGTTGACCATCAACCTCTTCCTCACATCGAAAAACTGCACACCCACCCACAAAACCATCACACCCTCACCAGAACAAAAGAAAAAACAGCTGGTCATCGGAACAATTCTGGTCCTCACGTCGGTCGATCGTCAGACTATCGATCGAGATCGGCTCAAGACCGATTCACCGAACAGCCAGCTCGATCGAACAGGCTAATCAAACTCATCACGCCCGACAAAAAAGTAGTAATCCGATACTGGCGCTGTCTTGAAGGCCTCCCATCATTCACGCAGCTGTCTCGGATTCATCCGGTTTCCCAAAGCACGATCTTCGCGCCAACTTTCAGTTAACTTCACGCCTCTCAGAACATGGCCCAACCACCGCCTTCTGTTCCTCCCAATAATAACAATCTCAACCATCCATTACCCGTACCACCAGCCTCCTCTTCATCCTCTTTTGTGCCGACTCCACCTCATCTTGCACCACATGGACTTCCTGCTCCCCCTCATCTGGCTGGAATGCCTCCAGTCTCATATCAAGTTGGTCATCAATCCGTGGTTCACTCTCAACAGCTATTATTGACATCATCCTGAATATGATTCTTTTATCTGTCTAGGAACCTGCTCAAATGACCCAGGAAGAGTTGGATCTCAAAGCTAAGAAGTGGACCCAGTTTCAACAGCGTAAATATGGCGATAAACAAGTCAAGACGAGCTTTGTTGATACTGGCAAACAAGAAATGCCACCCGAACGTAAGTAGCTTGTGTATCGTAGTCAATTGAGACATTTATTGCTTTCCACGCTGGAAAATCTCGCGTTAAACCTGAAACTTTGCTCTTTCCACTGTTTGTCTGCTCATCCAGATGTCCGCAAAATCATCAAGGACCATGGTGATTTGTCAAATCGCAAGTTCCGGACCGACAAGCGAGTTCACTTGGGTGCTCTCAAATATGTTCCACATGCCGTTATGAAGCTTCTCGAAAATATGCCCATGCCGTGGGAGCAGGTTCGGTGAGTGACCATCATCCTCTTGACCATTGCACAGAATCTCCAGCTTGAGCCCGGTCAAGTTTTTAATCGTTTCCTCCAAAAAAAAACTATGTAGGGAGGTTCCTGTCATCTACCACATCACTGGTGCCATTACCTTTGTCAATGAAGTCCCAAAAGTCATCCCACCTGTCTATCACGCACAATGGGCTTCAATGTGGCTATCGATGCGACGAGAAAAGAGAGATCGACGTCACTTCAAGCGAATGCGTTTCCCTCCGTTTGACGACGAAGAGCCCCCGCTAGATTATGGCGACAACATTCTTGACACGGAACCACTTGAAGCTATTCAGATGGACTTGGACGAAGAAGAAGACGCGCCAGTGTTCGATTGGTTCTACGATCACAAACCCCTTGTCAAGAAGTACAAGGGTGTTCAATACGTCAATGGCTCGAGCTATAAGTCCTGGCAGCTTGACTTGGGAATGATGAGCACGCTGTATCGAATCGGGAGAAATTTACTTAGTGATTTCATCGACAACAACTACTTCTATCTCTTTGAACCCAAGGCGTTTTTCACCGCGAAGGCCATGAACATGGCTATCCCCGGAGGGTATGTATAATGAAAACTAAGTACAAGATCCCTACACAGTGCATTCAATTCATTTCTTTGCTGGTGAAATTTTTTTTCAGTGCCCGTTTCGAGCCGTTGCACCGTGATGCTGAATCATACGATGACGATTGGAACGAGTTTAACGACATCAACAAGGTTATCATCCGCCAACAGATCCGGACTGAATATCGAGTAGCATTTCCCCACCTTTACAACTCCAGGCCCCGTAGCGTTCACATCCCCAAGTACCACGAAGTCAAAAATCTGTTCATTAGAGTCGAAGATCCAGACCTCCCCACTTTTTATTTTGATCCTATCATCCATCCAATCGTGGGTGCCTTTCAGTTCTTTTATTCAAATTACCGACAGAGATACTAACGCGCTCAATATTCTGTCGACGTGATGAAGTCTTCCCGCGCTGTGGCTCCACAAAACCAGGGAGTCTCACATGAGGAGGAAATCTTCGGTGATGCAGACGAGGATGACTTCCAGCTTCCCGACGACCTTGAGCCGTTCCTGGCTGATAAACCAATTGCGGATGATAACACCACTTCGGCAATAGCCATGTGGTGGGCCCCTTATCCGTACAATCATCGCAGCGGAAAAACGATCAGGACTCTGGATGTTCCCCTTGTCAAGAATTGGTACATGGAGCATTGTCCCCCAGGAATGCCCGTGAAAGTTCGAGTCTCATACCAAAAATTGGTGGGTCTTTGTCTCAAGGCCTGGATCGTATTGATTGCTGCTAATCCAATTCATCATTTAGTTGAAAAACTACGTTCTGAACGAGTTGCACAAAAGAAAGCCCAAACCTCAATCGAAAAAGTATCTATTCCGGCAGTTGAAGAATACCAAGTTCTTTCAAACTACTCGGCTGGATTGGGTCGAGGTAGGATTGCAAGTTTGTCGGCAAGGTTACAACATGTTAAATTTGTTGATCCACCGTAAAAAGTGAGTACACGTTTTCAGTGCTCCATACAAACCTATTCTGCTGACTAACTTGCTTGTTTGATCAACTCAGCCTCAACTACTTGCATCTCGACTACAACATGAATCTAAAGCCTGTTAAGACTCTTACCACCAAGGAACGAAAGAAGTCACGATTCGGAAATGCATTCCATTTATGCCGAGAAATTCTTCGATTGACTAAATTGATAGTCGATTGTCACGTTCAATACCGTCTAGGAAATGTGGATGCGTTCCAATTGGCAGATGGTTTACAGTTCACGTTTGCACATGTTGGCCAACTGACGGGAATGTATCGATACAAATACAAATTGATGAAGCAAATCCGACAATGTAAAGACTTGAAACATTTGATCTATTATCGTTTCAATACTGGTGCCGTCGGAAAAGGTCCTGGTGTCGGATTCTGGGCCCCGGGTTGGAGGGTTTGGTTGTTCTTCATGCGTGGGATCGTCCCTCTCTTGGAGCGTTGGCTCGGAAATTTGCTCGCTAGACAGTTTGAAGGTCGAAATAGTAAAGGCGTGGCTAAAACAGTGACTAAACAACGTGTGCGTACGAGTATGTTTTCACAATTTAAGTTATGCTGGTGTCTGACAACCCGCTCTTGTTTGAACGAATGCATCTTAGGTTGAAAGGTTAGCCCAAATCAATTTTGTTGCTACTGATTCAAACACCCAAGATACGTAACTAACCTTTTCTTTCTTCTCCAGTCATTTCGACTTGGAATTACGTGCAGCAGTCATGCATGATATATTGGGTAATCACCTCTTTCTAGCCATTTGAATTGAGAAAAGGAACTAACGCACTTCGCTTCTAGACATGATGCCGGAAGGATTGAAACAAAACAAGTCTAAAACCATCTTGCAGCATTTGTCAGAGGCCTGGCGATGTTGGAAGGCGAACATACCTTGGAAAGTACCCGGGATGCCCACAGCGGTTGAGAACATCATATTGAGATATGTCAAGTCGAAGGCCGATTGGTGGACATCCGTCGCGCATTACAACCGAGAGCGAATCAAACGTGGAGCAACGGTCGATAAAACTGTCAGCAAGAAAAACTTGGGCAGATTGACTCGTAAGTCGGTTCATTATCAAATGGACCATGACGTCATACTGATTGAGACCTCTGTTTTTTTAAAGGACTGTACCTCAAGGCGGAGCAAGAAAGACAGAACAGTTATCTCAAAGATGGTCCTTGTACGTCCACAGTTTGATTCTCAGTTCTTGTTATGGAAGCTCATTGAAACCAAGGATATTAGATGTTACTGCTGAAGAGGCCGTAGCCATCTATTCGGCTACCGTCCACTGGCTCGAGAGTCGGAAGTTTGCACCGATTCCGTTCCCCCCGCTGAACTACAAGCACGATACCAAGCTGCTGGTCTTGGCCCTCGAAAAACTCAAAGAGGCGTATTCGGTTCAAGGCCGACTCAATCAAAACCAAAGAGAAGAGCTTGGTGAGATTGCTCCCTCTTATCCATGACCATACTGGTTGTCTGACTATCTTTCCGGATGAACTTCGTTTTGTTTGATTGTAGCATTGATTGAGCAGGCTTATGATAATCCTCACGAGACCCTTTCCCGAATCAAAAGGTTGCTCTTGACTCAAAGAGCCTTCAAAGAAGCAGGACTCGAGTTTTTTGATAGTATGTTTTCGCTCGGACTCGTCTCCTTGGATCTCAGTTCTGATGCTTCTTGTAACTTCTGCAGCATACGACAAGTTGATTCCTGTTTATGACATCGAACCTATCGAGAAAATTACGGACGCATACTTGGATCAATTTCTGTATTGTACGTTTTTCGACTGGCATCATACGAAGTACCACGTTAAACCTGACCATGGGGTCCAATGTTCTCTATCGTAGTTGAGGCCGATAAGCGCGGCTTGTTTCCTGCCTGGATCAAACCTGCCGATACTGAGCCGCCTCCGTTACTCGTGTATAAATGGTGTCAAGGAATTAACAACTTGCACGAAGTATGGGAGACTGCTGATGGCGAATGTAACGTGATGCTCGAAACTCAATTGTCGAAACCCTACGAAAAGATGGATTTAACGTTATTGAACAGATTGCTAAGATTGATCATGGATCACAATCTGGCTGATTACATCACTGCCAAGAATAACATCGTTCTGACCTATAAAGATATGAGTCATGTTAACTCTTATGGACTGATCAGAGGGTTACAATTCTCGAGCTTTGTGTTCCAGTTCTACGGTCAGCAATCTTCTTTCGATTGTCACTGTTTGAGTATTCCTGAAACTGATTTGAGAGCGGGTTTGCAGGATTGGTTTTGGATTTGTTAATCATGGGCTTACAACGGGCCAGTGAAATGGCCGGACCCCCATCCATGCCTAACAATTTCCTTCAATACCGAGATACTTCTACCGAGGTTCGACACCCGATCAGACTCTATGCTCGATATGTCGATAAGATTCATATCTTATTCCGGTTTACTGCTGAGGAATCTCGAGACCTGATCCAGAGATTTTTGTCTGCCAATCCTGGTATGTCTGTTTTTCTATGTTTCTTGGTGCTTCGGTCCCATTGCTGATTTGATGACACACATGTATTTAGATCCAAACAATGAAAACATCATTGGATACAACTCTAAACGATGTTGGCCGCGTGATTGTCGTATGAGGTTGATCAAACACGACGTTAACCTTGGGAGAGCGGTATTCTGGGATATCAAGAATCGTCTTCCTCGTTCACTCACCACTATCGAATGGGTTGATACAAATGCTAGTGTCTATTCTAAGGACAACCCTCAATTACTCTTCAGTATGAGCAACTTTGAGGTTCGAATTCTTCCTAAGATCCGGAATGTTGGCGAAGCGTTTACCTTGAAGGATGGCGTGTGGAACTTGGTCAATGAAGCGACTAAAGAGAGGACTGCTCAGGCTTATCTCCGGGTTAGCGATTATGGTATCGATCAGTTCCATAATCGAATCCGACAAGTCTTGATGGCTTCTGGATCAACCACCTTCAGTAAGATCGTGAACAAGTGGAATACAGCGATCATCGGATTGATGACATACTATCGAGAAGCGGTAATCCATACCAACGAAATGTTAGATCTCCTTGTGAAAAGTGAAAACAAGATTCAAACGCGTGTCAAGATCGGGTTGAATTCCAAGATGCCTTCTCGATTCCCGCCGGTCGTATTCTACACACCAAAGGAACTGGGTGGATTAGGCATGTTGTCCATGGGACACATCTTGATCCCGGCATCTGATCTCCGATGGTCGAAGCAGACGGACACGGGCATCACTCACTTTAGGAGTGGAATGAGCCACGAGGAAGATCAGTTGATCCCCAACTTGTATCGATACATTCAACCGTGGTCATCCGAATTTGAGGATTCTGCGCGAGTCTGGTCGGAATACGCGATGAAGAGGAAAGAAGCAAACTCTCAGAATAGGCGACTGACCTTGGAAGATCTGGAAGACAGTTGGGACCGAGGTATCCCCAGAATCAATACCTTGTTCCAAAAGGATCGACATACGTTGGCCTACGACAAGGGTTGGAGAGTTCGGACGGATTGGAAACAGTACCAACTATTGAAGCACAATCCGTTTTGGTGGACCAACCAAAGGCACGATGGAAAGTTATGGCAGTTGAACAACTATCGAGTTGATGTCATCGCAGCCTTGGGTGGTGTTGAAGGCATCCTAGAGCACACTCTGTTCAAAGGAACTTATTTCCCCACTTGGGAGGGGCTCTTCTGGGAAAAAGCCTCTGGATTCGAAGAGTCTATGAAGTCAGTCATCTCTAATATTCTGTCCGTGGCCCACCCTTTCTTACCTCCCGTCTAACTTGATTTGCTCATTTTAGATTCAAGAAACTTACCAACGCCCAGCGATCTGGTTTGAACCAAATCCCCAATCGTCGATTCACTCTGTGGTGGTCGCCGACTATCAATCGTGCAAACGTCTATGTGGGATTCCAAGTTCAACTCGATCTGACTGGAATTTTCATGCACGGAAAGATTCCTACCCTCAAGATCTCTCTGATTCAAATTTTCAGAGCACATTTGTGGCAAAAGATTCACGAGTAAGTTGGAGTCCCATCACTCTTTGATCTAGTATGCTTGTTAATCAATTTTGCCAATCTTGCAGATCGGTTGTCATGGATCTTTGCCAAGTCTTTGATCAAGAGTTGGAAGCCCTCCAGATTGAGACCGTGCAGAAGGAGACGATCCATCCACGTAAAAGTTACAAGATGAATAGCTCTTGTGCTGATATCTTGTTGTTTAGCGCTTATAAGTGGAACATGACGAGGCCATCTTTGTTGACCGATTCCAAAGACGTTTTGGATGGAACGACTAGTCAGAAGTATTGGCTCGATGTGCAATGCCGTTGGGGAGACTTCGATTCACATGATATTGAGCGATACACTCGATCTAAATTCTGTAAGTCAATTGCTCTTGTACTCACCATCGCGTCTTTACTGAAAAATTACCTGTTTTTTTCTTCGACACAAAATCAGTGGATTATTCTCAAGACAATACGTCGATCTATCCATCACCGACAGGTCTGATGATCGGGATTGATCTAGCCTATAACTTGCATTCGGCGTATGGACATTGGTTCCCGGGAGCTAAGCCTTTGATCCAGCAAGCCATGGCTAAGATAATGAAAGCCAACCCAGCCCTCTATGTTTTACGAGAACGAATCCGGAAAGGTCTTCAGCTTTACTCCTCCGAACCAACTGAGCCGTACTTGAACTCTCAGAACTATTCGGAGCTGTTCTCTAACCAAATCATTTGGTTCGTCGATGATACCAACGTATACCGAGTCACAATCCACAAGACATTCGAAGGAAATTTGACCACCAAACCTATCAACGGTGCCATTTGTGAGTATTTAATTTGATAGACCGCTATTGATCCTTGTGATCATTCTTGAACCATTTTTCTCTTGTTTTAAATTTTTTACAGTTATCTTCAATCCTCGTACCGGACAGTTGTTCTTGAAAATTATTCATACCTCCGTCTGGGCTGGTCAAAAACGACTGGGGCAATTAGCGAAGTGGAAAACGTTTGTGACGATCACTTAGTATCTATCATTAATCAAACTATTGTTGATTGCTGTCTTCTTTTTTCAGTGCTGAAGAAGTGGCAGCTTTGATTCGTTCTCTACCGGTAGAAGAACAGCCAAAACAGGTTATCGTGACTCGGAAAGGAATGTTAGACCCTCTCGAAGTTCATTTGCTCGATTTCCCCAACATCGTCATCAAAGGTAGCGAGCTGCAGTTACCCTTCCAATCAGCCATGAAGCTCGAAAAGTTCGGAGATTTGATCCTTCGAGCAACTCAGCCACAAATGATTCTAGCCAATCTGTTCGATGATTGGCTTAAATCAATCTCCTCCTATACCGCATTCTCTCGTTTGATCCTACTGTTGCGGGCTTTGCACGTCAACCAAGAGAAATCGAAGATTATCTTGAGGCCGAACAAGTCGACCATCACCCAGCCGCATCACGTTTGGCCAACTCTCTCAGATGAAGAATGGATGAGAGTCGAATTGGCTCTCCGGGACCTAATCTTGGCTGATTATGCTAAGCGTAACGCCGTGAATACGGCTTCATTGACTAGTTCTGAAATTCGGTATGCTTTTCACCTTATCAAATTCCTCCCGCTTCTGTCCGTACTGACTGTTCTTGTGTTCCTCTTATCTTTAGGGATATCATTTTGGGTATGGAGATCCAAGCTCCATCAATTCAGAGACAGCAGATGGCCGAGATCGAAAAGACCGCTGAACAAGCCAATCAAGTGACCGCCACTCAAACCCAAACTACCAATGTTCACGGTGATTTGATTCAAGTGGTGACGACTACCCAGTACGAAACACAAACATTTTCGTCGAAGACTGACTGGCGCATCCGAGCGATCAGTTCGACGAACCTTCCGCTGCGATTGCAGCATTGTTATGTGCAGAACGATGATGTGTCGGATTCCTTGCCGACCTTCGTCCTCGCCAAGAACATCATGAAGTCTTTCGTGTGCGCTGCCGATCTCAGGACGCCTATCGCCGCGATTCTCTACGGTCAAGCAGCGCCGGACAATAACCGAGTGATTGAAGTTCGAGCGGTAGCGGTGATCCCACAACGAGCGAGTCAACGGTCGATCGAGTTGCCAAATGCCTTGCCCAAGCATCCGCTCTTGGACGACATGAAGATTGTCGGGGTGATCCACACCCAAGCACAAGAGTCGCAGACCTTATCTCCAAACGATGCAATCTTATTCTCCAAACTGATGGCCCAACACTCTCAGTTGGACGGCACTAGCATCATGTTGACCGTCGCTTTCACCCCCGGTTCCCTCTCCCTCTCCGCTTACGTCCTCACCCCTAAAGGCTTCGAGTGGGGTAGAAACGCTGATCCCAATGCTCCTAACGGATATAACCCTGCTAGCATGTCTGAACGTGTTCAGTTGTTGTTGAGTGATCGTATCTTGGGGTCTACATTCGTACCACAAGATGGAATCTGGAACGTAAGTATTTCAACAACTATCTCTTAAACTTGAACTTGTTTTTTTGTTTTGTTTGCCAGCTTGATCTAATCATTTTTTTCGTTCATTTTTTCTGTCTCTCTGAAGTACTCGGTGGGTCTTGGACCAAGGTTCCAAACGACGATGGAATACACAATGACCTTGGCCGGCCAGCCGATTCCTTTCTGGGACCCAAGTCACCGACCGAACCATTTCAGCGCCTTCCAAAACATCGCTGTCGAGGAGGAGCCGACTATTGACACTGCGGATCCGTTCGCATGAAGAACTCTCTTTCTTCTCTCGCTCTCTCTTTTCGTTGTGAAAAAAAATCATTTCATGGTCCCTCAGTCATCCTCTTCGTTGTCGAGTCTATCTACTACATATGACCCCCAAAAAAATTCAATCAGGCTAAGGGATATGGTTATTCCTCTTTTTACAACGTGATTCCTATCTCCATTAAAAGCTCATATACGATCCTGTAAAACGACCTTGGTTGTTCTCTCATCCAAGACTTATTCCTACATATATCTATGTCTTGCTTCTATTTTTGATACTCTTAAAATATATATATATATATATACATATATCTTTGGAGAAGCACAAGCAATACATGCATATCATGATACTATTCACATCACCAACAAGAACACAGTACATACTTAAGAATCTGTCGGTTTTGTTGGAGTCTCCTTTGCTTGCTATTGCTTCCACTAAAAAGTCCTCTCCTCTTTTTTGCTCCGCCTTGATTATTGTTCTTCTTTCTCTTTTTTTTGTTGAGTAATAAGTTTCTGCGAGATCCTCTTGGTTGATTGGTATTTGCAATCAATCACTTTTTTTAAACACATGTTGACAAGTTGGAGGGAGGTGAATGAGTATATACATACAGTATCAAAATGATATCTCAACTCACGAAAAAAAAAACCCTAGGGAAAGAATGATTGGCTATCAAGTCTTGCTAAAGAAGAGCTAACAAAAGAAGCTTAGCTTCGTGAGGCTACATCGAAGAGTGATGGAACGGGTTTGTGCGATTGTCATAAGAAGAATTCCAAAAGAAAAGGCCAGCAAAATGACGCGCCCAATGGGGGGCTCGAACCCCCGACATTTCGGTGGACCGGTTTCCTGGGGAGGAACCGTGTAAAAGCCGAATGCTCTACCGACTGAGCTAACCGGGCTGGCGATGACGTAAAGACCAGAGCTGGCGGTGATAATCCACACTATTGTGGTACTATGCATATCAGCATCGTGACAATTCGCGATGCTTGGCAGAAAACACTACATAACGCTTCACGTGGTGTGCATAGCATGTCTCTGTTGGCTTCATGATTGATTGAGCTTAATAATGTATTTAATATATGATTCATTATATGTATTTTAGTTAGATGATACCCCATCCCCCCCCCCAAAAAAAAAGAAACACCTTACAAAACAAAACAAAACGTATTATAAAAAAACCAAACTCAACTAAAAGCTATTCAAACCTGCGCAAACATTCTTTTTTTTTCTTTTTCTTCTTCTTCTTGTGTCTCCAATCTCAAAAAAAAAAAAAAAAGAACGAGTATGTAGTTATAGAAGGAAAAAAAAAAATAACGAGGTTTGTTGAAAACAAAACAAGAAAAAAAACAAGATATTAGAAGGAGCATCAAATTTGATAAGACCAATAAGTAAGTTGAGTTATGTTATTTGATTTTTTTTAAGAAAATCTTGTTGTGTGTTATAGTTCAATTCTCCAAGAAGTGAGAGGAAGGGTGAAGTTCAGGATAGAAGTATCTGGTTTCTGATCGAAAGAAGAAGAAGAAGGAAGAAGAAGCCGATTAATGCAAGCCAAGAGAGCGGGCAAAGGAAAGAGAGAGAGAGAGACCGACTTTAGTAGCAAGATAGACCAAGGACCCCAAGATAGCGGAGACGGAGAGGATAAGAGCGAGGACGCTGGAGACGATGATGAGGATGAACTTGAGGTCGTCGATGCCCATCTTGGCTTTCGCAGCACGAGGGGCGACGGGTGGTTGGAGGCCGATCCGGCGTAGCGCCGGCTGTTGGTGCACGCGGACGTCTTGGATGTTCGAGGCTATCGGGTCATCCGAATAGAGTGGCGGCGGATTCGTCGGCGTTATGAAGCTCGGATATCGGTTCTCTGCCCATGCTATAATCTAGGACCCACTTTTAATAAGTTTTTTTGTTTTTTTTTTTTTGCTTGGAAATTTGAGCTAGTTTAGACTCTTTCTTACCTTCCCAACAAGCACACATAGCTTCAAATAGTTCGGGTCACTCGGATCGGCTCGTTGATGGATCCTATGTGCAAAGTCTACAAAGATGTATGACAGATCCCTGGGATTGATAGCTTTAGAGATCAACTGCATTCAGAAAACAAACAAAAACAATGCAATCTGTTTAGTTAATTGAGTCAGGAAGATTGAGGGGTTTGTAGAGATGGATGAGACGAACGAGGGCCATCAAGCTCCTACGAATCTTGACGTTTTTCTGAAAGACATCCAAGTTTTCGAAGCATAATTCAAGAGTAGCTATGGCCATGACCTGAGGGATAGCACAGAAGTTAAAGATGGACTGATTTTTCAAGAGGGTCATATATTCGAGGGCGTCGACGGCATGACTGAGGGCGTCGATGGTCATTTCGGTGAGTGCCCAACGGGCCTGTTTCTGGAATTGAGGCAGGGTGAGCAATCGAGGCTCGTCGACAAACTTGCGCCAGATAGCCTCCGGCCAAAACATCCTTCCCGCATCCACATCTTCCCGGAAATCGCGCAAGATGTTCGTCTTTTGGAGCAGCAAGCCCATCGAATTACTCAGTCTTAATTGGTATCCGAGCTCCTCATTCTCCTTCCCCGATTCCGAGAATAGGCGCGATAATCCTTCGCCAACTAAGCCTGCTACATAATGGCAATATCCGTCAAAGCCGGCCATCGTGTCGATCGAAAATATCCCGCCTCCGTCCACTGCCGTCCGAGCAAATCTCGCCATCCCTGATCCCATTCTGGCCGTCACATCTGTTACGATCGTTCGGTACCTATATTTCCATCAAGAAAAAAAAAACCCCCTCTCAAATCGATCAGAAAAAGAAAAATAATTCGCACCAAAAATAAATAAGATATATAGACGAGACTTTTGGGTCACTCACTTGGGCTCTAGAACTTGAAATTCGGAGATCACTTTATCGAACTCTACCAACAAGTTTCGGTCTTTTTCCGTCGGACTACCTAGAGCACACACAAGGATAGAGAGTAAGAGGAGCAAAAAAGCAGGGATCGAAAAGCAGGTCTTGAAAATTAGATCAGCCATTTAACCAGCATGCAAGTTGAAGAAGAAGAAGAAGAAGGTGATTCACATCCGTCGAAGTTCCAGCCGGGTTGATCGAGCTTCTGGTAGAAAGATTTGAGCAGTGTTTCTTTGAGTTCGATGGGGATTGACATGTCATCTTCGACGGTATCCAGCCCTCTCAGGACGAGATAAAAGATGCAAACCTGGAACAATCGACATAACGTAAATCAACTCGGATGATTGATTAGCGATCATCATCAAAAAAAAAAAAAAAAGAAAAAAGAAAAGAAAAGAAAAAAAAGGAAGTGGATCTCAAGATGAATGGTTGACGTACGACTCGCGAAAGCTCGCCATCTAGCTCTTTGATCACCGCACTAAAGCTTCGACTGGTTTGGTCGAGGAAGAGCCAACATGCCTTCATATTCGGCTCATTGATTCGAGTGATCCTACATAGACATACACAACCCATTTCCATTTCCATTTTTTTTTGTTAGATACACCGATCTCAGGAGAATTGTTGAACCAGACTCACTCGGGATGTTCTTCCAGGTTCGGCGGGTCATACCAGAGCTTATAATTCACTAACGCCTGTTTTTTTTTTTTTTCCAGAAAAGGAGGGGATCAAAAGAGGGTCAGTTTTTCTGTGAGACACATGGTCGTGATAAATTACAAGAAAGTGTGTGTGTGTTTGACTTACTTTGAGTTCTTGAGGATGGCGGATTGCCAGCCAGATCAATCCAAGCAAGTTCATGTGGAGATTTCTTTCTGGTTCGTTTCTTGCAATATCCTGGATCAAATCCTTCTTTGTTGATTCAACTGAGATGAATCAAACCACCGATTGGGAACTGGTTCAAATGCAACGACTTGTGGTTTTGTCGTTCTCGGCAGTTCTTGGGACTTGTGGACTTGTGGATGAGGATGGGGGTTGGGGGGGTCTATGTAAGCCAGTCAGAGAGTTGGTTTCACTTTCACAGCAGCTTGGAAGAACTCAAGCAGAAGACCAAAGCAATCCAGCGCAACTCCTCTTAAAAGTAGAAGAGCCCCTATTCACCACTGAGATCCTCAAAAACGCTTCATCCTCCAGGCCGAGACTGGCTCATTGTTCTAAAGCCTCTGCCGTCGCCAGATCTCCGACACTCCGAAACCCTCACATTCACACTCCCACATTTATGATATATCCTTGGCATGGTCCACACAACTCCCCAATTCAAAACCAATACAATTTGCACATTTATTTATGTTGTACCAGCGAGCAACTCAATTCCAACACGTGTGCGTCCCCAGCTACACACTGGTCATTCTGTGAATTCTCGAATGAACAGAACTGAACAGAAACATGTGGTCAGAAAAAAAAATTCAATAGGAGTTGCACTCTGTTCAATGGAATAACCCAACTTCACTGTTTGCATAGGCTCGCATCTCATGTGGGTCGACTCGACTGTGGATCTGGATTCTGGATCGACGTAAATCCATATATTTATCTCAAGCACAACAACATACATGGATCACTTGCGTAAATCCATAAGGCAACTCGTGCGACGGGCCTCGGCCATCACCCAAGGACCCCAGCAAGCCCCCCGACATGTATATGGGGGTGTTGAAAAAGTATGGATTTTTTTCGCAAAATTCATCCATAACTGTTCTCCGGGACATTCATACCACTTACAAAAAGTATGCTCACACCAAAATCCCCCAAAATAGAGGGGGCTCCCCAAATTAATTCTGATTATGGGCCAGATTGTACTGGTTTTGACCTGTTTTCACAAACCTGAAATGTGGAATTTCAAGAGCACCTTTTTAGAGCATCTCTAACGGTCCGGGGGGCAGCTGACGCGCGTTCCCCGGCCCACAAACACATTTCTCAGGAGTCGCGGGTCAGCTCCAATTGTGGACTGGCACTTCGAGCAGCTATCCACCCAACTACTCGACACGCCATACCAACTCGACACACTGTTCAACACATCACCCAAAAAAATGGAAGAACTACTCCAATTCATGGACGAAGACGACGACATCATTGCCTCCCCTCAAACAAGCATTGCTTTGATTATGAAGACAAAAGAAAAAAAAAAGAACAGCGGTTCAACACCTGGACGAAGGGAAATCCATCGGAATTGACTTGAAGGACATCAGCAGCTATACAATGACTACTTCGCTGAGGACGCTATATATCCTGATTATCTTTTCCGCCGTCGATTCAGGATGCAAAGAAGTCTCTTCCTCAGAATTGTCACCGATATTGAAAATGCCAATCCTTACTTCCAACAGAAGCGTGATGCAGCTGGAAGATTGGGCTTTGCAGCTCTTCAGAAGGCAACAGCGGCAATAAAAATGCTTGCATACGGATGCAGTGGCGACTCAATTGATGAGTATCTTCGTATGAGTAAGTTTTCTAACAAAGAAGTTTGTTTTAATTTTGAGGACCTAAATGAATTTCATTTGATCCAGGTGAATCTACAACAATTCAGTGTTTGAAAAAGTTTTGCCACACAATTGTCAAGATTGATCATCCTCCATAACATGACAATCGAAGATGAGGTAGGGACAGAATTTGAAGAAGACTTTAACTATCATCAAACTCCAGGCACGCGAGCAACCATCACGACAAACAAACCTAATAATTCAACATTTGAACAATTTATTCTGCGATACCAGGCGATTAGGGATCATGTCTTACATGCACAACTGCAGCAAGACCTCATCAATCATTTGTGGAATAAGCATGGTTCAGATGAAGATAATTCCTCATCTGAGGAGTAACTGCTTCTTTGTTATTTTTTTTCTCTTGCTTATGTTATCTTTTTTTCTCACTTATTTTCCAGCTGTTGCTTTTTTTCTCTCGCTTGTGTTGTCTTTTTTTATATTTTTTTTTCTCACTTGTTTCTTGTCTTGGGATTTCAAAAATTTGGTAAATGAAATTGTGGTTCTGTTTTCTTCAAGAAAGAAATAGAAACAACTTCAAAAAAAGAGAGAAAACTTTGAAAAAAGACACAACTCCAAAAGAAAAAGAGAGACGAGGTTGGTAAATTAAGCAGGATAAAGATATCAATCATCGCCAGCTGCACTGTTGTCTTTGCCAGATTTTTCCTCGTTTGTGCCGGAATCATTGTCTTTGTCTTCATCTTCGCCATCAATCTCGATCACTTCCTTATCTTTTCTCTGTTTTTCTTCTTTCTCTTTTCGCTCCTTTTCCTTCTTCTCTTTTTCCTCCTTTTCTTTTTTATCTTTTTCCTCCTTCTGCTTTTTTTCTTTTTCCTCCCTCTCCTTCTCTTCCTGTAGCTCGCGAGCAATAATTGCTCTTTGTTTCTTCTGGTAGTATGCACGACTTTCATCATCCATTGTGTTGAGATTAGCAGACATGATCGCGTTGTCTGAGGTTGATTGTAAAGCCGATTTCATTGAAGCCAACCTATCACGCGAGATCTGGACCAGTTCTTTTTGCATGCCAACAATCTTCTCAATTGCACACTCCTCCGCTTGTTTACGTTTGGCCGATTTCTGACCTCCAATACAAACGTTTCCCAGTGCCGACCGACTGTTTTCAGAGTCTTCTTCCTCTACTTCAATGACCGCAGGGCTTGAAACGACAGGGGTGGAGGCAGGTGGATCGGAGGAGGGTGCTGAAGCGGTCGAAGGTACATCCTTGGCCTTCTTCCCTCGAGCTTCACTTTCTTGCTGCGTGGCCTGCCATTTGGGGGCATCCTTCAATATTCCCCAGCAGTGATCAAGATTGAAGCTGGACCCAAAGGTGGCCTTGTAAAGCTCCTTGGCCTCGGTAAGCTGGATCAAACAAAAAGCAACAGATGTAAGTATATCAAGAGCAAGCATACAGAACATATTAATCATAGAAAACTTACAATGTCTTCGCGAGTTTTCCCACTTTTCAAGCAACGTTCAACATTTGAATAGCAACCAGAGAATTTATTGACTGTCTTGAGTATAATACCCCAACGACATTCAACCGCACCAACTGGTCTAAGAGGAAGTTCTTTGAAAAACCTTGTATGTTTCTTCTCCTCTTTGTACTCGTTGATGAGATCTGAAAGGGTTTCATGGATTTGCTCCCAAAATGTCGTAGCTTTCTGTCCTTTTCCAACAATTGCATCTCGACTAGTATTCAGCCAAGCAATACAAAGTCTTTTGTCCTCTTCAAAAGACCAGCAAGGAAATCCTTTCTTCATCGTAGTATTTTCATCAGCTTTTGGGGTGGTATCAATGGCGGTATCATTTGGGGTGGTATCGATGGCGGCATCAGTATTGTTGGTTGATTTCTCTGCCGGCTTGGGGGTTGCAAGGTTGTCGCTGTTGTTGTTTGGGGTGGATTGTGAAGTTTTTTTCTTTCTTCTTCCTAGGAGACCTGCATTTTGGAGTTTTGTTGGAGTCGAGTGGATTTGTTGAGTCACCCATGGTGGTGGCCGTACTATGGAAAAGTGAAAAGTGGAGTGAAATGCCTGGATTGCGGCTGGGAGGTGACTGGCAGAAGGTTGTAGGGGTTTGCGGGTTGAACAGCCTCCAGGGATGTTCCCAGGGTTGTTCCGCGGGGCTGTTGGAGCACAAAAATGCAATTCGGGCAGTCAAAGTTCACCCCCAGACGCCCAATCGCGGCTCCGTTGGAGTTGCTCTTAGCCCCAATTGAAAATTGTAAAAGACACAAATGCTCTTCACTACGGATGGACAATAGGGAGTTTCTAGAAGCTTGGATTGGTATTGCATGCACAGTAGGAGGGGGATCCCTCTGTTAGTATCTACATTGGTAATTGATATTAGAGAGAAAACAAAGAGAGAGGAGAATGAAGAAAGAAGAGAAGAAATGGGAGAGAAAAGAATGAAGACTTACCTAGCATGGTAGCAGCAGCGGTGGGTCGCTACGCTTTTGGCCCAAAAAGTGTAGCATAGCGGCACTTTTTTTCCATCAAAAATGTGTAGTGTTAGCGTTTTTTTAGCGGTTTTCCGCTACGCTACGCTGCGCTACAGCGCTTTTAGCGGAAAAAGCGGCCAAAAACCGCTAAAAAGCACTGTAGCCCAACGTAGTGGGCCCTTTTTTGCGGCCCACACGCGTAGCGTTAGCGGTGTCGTGGCAGAATTCCGCTACGCTACGCTTAGCGCTAACAGCAATTCTGCTTTGTTACGCTACACTAACCGCTACGGTTAGTGTAGCATCCCACCGTTGGTAGCAGGTGGAGGCCTGCTGTAACTGAGCTAGGATAGGGAGGGACATAAGGGATTAAATTGTCCGGCAAGTAGAATCTTGATTACATGAGCTTTGAGTTTTGAAATTTTGTCTTTGTGAAATCCAAGCGGAGCAGGTTTCACGATAATTCATGCCTTTTTCAAGCTTTGTCAAGAGTATTTCTTGGGAGTTTTGCCAAGTTGGCATACCTTTTTCAACAACCCTCTATTGGGGGGGCTTGCTGGGGTCCTATGATGAGTTCATGGATAATCCAATCTAAATACCATGTATTAGCATACAGCTGCCAAGGTCAAAAAATAAATAAATTGGCAGAACTTTGGTGCAAGGTTTTTGAGACCAATTTTACTGAGAGGTGACAATTGTGGGGGCTTTTGACTAAAACTTCAGAGAACAGACTTGAACTATCTAAGGCTCCATTTGGCATTCCATTATCTCATGAGTAAAAATATGTGAGTCCGGATAATCAGAATAAGGCTGATAATGAGATAGTGGACTGCCAAACACAGCCCAAAACAAACACTGAAACCAAGCCAGATCCTTGGACGTTAGGACTAAGAGCAGATCCACTGTGGTCCCTGTGAAATTATAGGGCCAGACCCAGACATACACCAAGTTTGAAAAACTGTTACACATATGTTAAGATTACTAGATTGAGAAGATCAGATATTTTGGTCAATCAATTGATTGGTGGAAGAGACCAAAAGAGAAGGATTATACTCCTTCAGAAAAGCTTGGAATGTATTGTGATCTAACCTGTTGGAAGAAAGATAGGATTCTGAAACAATTGGGCAAGAGAAAAAATCTTAGCAATTGGAGAAAAGTTCATAAAAATCATTAAAAAGAAAACACTGGCAAAATGGAACATACTTACATATCACATCAGAAATAAGGCCCTGTTTGGCCGTCCATGATTTGTAATTTTGAGTTGAGGTTTGGCAGGAGTTTGTGCAAAAACCTTATATTGTTTCATATTGCACGGTCAAAATCCCAGCCAAACTTAGCCAAATCACAAATAATGATTTGCGGCCAAACGGGGCCTAAATGATGTCTCTGTTAGTGAGAAGATGAAGTTGTATGCCACTCCTCATTTTTTCCTGCCTGGTGTTCATCAACAAACAGAAGATTGTATTTCTGATAACTCATATTGAAATAAGAAATACATAATAGAATAGAAAAATCAATCTAACCTGAAGGAAGACGATAGGATGCAATGAAGAAATGGCACCACACAAGACAGGATACAAAAGATAAGAAGACAAGGAACTATACAAAAAGTACAATTGTGACTGTCTTGAATATCAATGAGAAGACTAGAAAGCAAAGAGGTCAGTTAAGAACCTACAGTGAGAAAAGAACAATTGGCAATGAGTTGATAGGAAGGGAAGCATAGGGTATGTTGGCAAGATTTTCAAGAAGGAAAGTGTTGTAGTGTGCCGTAAGAATGGCTTTCAGGAAAGAAGAAAGATCTGATGGAATGAAACAGATCAGAAGACAAGTTTTAGCTTTGTCAGGCGGAGGAACAGTAGTTAATGTGATTGATGTGTTGAACTTACAGTCCAGGGATTCATTCTCATTCCACTGCAGCACTGGGGTCACATGGATGAGTGAGATGAACAAGATTCAAAACCTAGAATATTTCTACTTTTTTCTTAAACCTGTCTGAAAGGGTAACTCGGACTGCAAAAAGGTGTCACCCCAGATGTGGTAAAAATAACATTCAGCTTGCTGTCTACATCAACTGGGTCATTGCTGATTCAGGTCTTGAGACAATCTACATGGGCTTCCACAGAATTCAAGTAGCTCAAAGACTTCAAAAAACCAAATCCAGAAAATCTTACATTGCTAAATTTTCAACAAAGAAGTTACAAATCACATCATCTCAATATCCCACTTCCTCCTGCCTATACATTGGACATCAACTCTTTGGCTTTTTTTTGTCTAATTAAAGTGACCAGAAAAAAGTAATTAAGACGAGATGGGATTAAGAGATAGATTAGGATGATCATTAGGTTTATTCTGATCGATTGCATTGCCTGCAATTGATGAACCAGCAGAGAAATAAAAATCCCAAATGATTTCTACTTTATGATCCTTACTTAGCGAAGGGTTATGGTCGAGAGTTAGTGAATTTCCTGCACCGATCATTGTCTCCTCCAGTCCTCCGCTCGATCCCTCTTCGACTTCCAACAGATCCTCATCCACCAAACCCAACGGCGGAAACAGCTTGGTGACATCGGCTCGTTGCAAGGCCTGTCCTAAGGCAACTCTCCTAACATGTTCCCGAAACAGCGTCTCCTTGATCGTCAAGAACGGCTTCGGTAAAATCCGTAGGCGCGAACACAAAGCCAACTCTGACGGGTGAAGAAGTTGTCTTGAGGAGGATGTGGAGAGGCTCAATGGCACAGCGACTATATTGACCATGTCGAAACATCAGCGGAAGAGCGCTTAGTACAATCCGTCGAACAGCTCCAAGAGCGCACTCACATTTCTGTTTGCATCCTTTTCCTGAACTACCAGGGGTACCTTCTCGACTGCTAAGAGTAGCTTCATCGAAACTCAAACCAGCTCCACTAACTCTTGGTTTCCGTACTCCAAAACGATCATGCCCAGCCACTTCGCGTTGTTTTCCAAACAACTTGATGTCATGGAGCAAATTATAAGTGTATGAGGGAAGTTAACGCACTACCAGTATGTTGGGGACTCACTCGGGCAGCCTTCTCTTTCTCATACCTTTCCGCATCGGCCAAAGTGGTGATACCCATCTTCCTATATTCCTGTAACTCTGCTACCCGCTTTCGGAGTGCCATTTCGTCTACATAAATCAAGTGAAATGTTACTAGAATCCAATCCGCTTACCCTGGAGCGAAAAAATAAATTTACAAAGCAAGCCTTCCTGGAACTTTTCGTGGTCGGTTGCGGTCTGGAGGCGGGCAAAAGGCTTGATCCGGACGACTAAGTCTCGAATTTCTTTGGGCATCTTTCGCTCTGCTGCTTGAATCTATACATTTACATTCGGCAAGCGTCAGTTTTAGGGCCACCTTAAAAGAGGGGCGTTTTTTACCTTCTTGTATTCTAAAAGATTCCTGTCAAATACCACCGCTTTGGCTTGCAAACGCCGATCGTATTTGTCATTATAGATGTCTAATATGGTGAGTTTTAGTTCTAAATCCAGGTCAGGCTCATCTGAAAGCGGCGGTTCTTCATCAACTTCTTCATCATCCTCTTCATCGTCGGCTTTCTGCTCTTCCTTCTCTTTGACTTTACTGTTTGCTTTAGGCTTGGGGGAGGGACCGGTTTGAAGTGGATCAACAGAAGATGACGTCATGGAATCTCTACCATCGGGCTCCGTTCCATCACCACAATTCTCATCAACGCAAGCCCCTTGATTACCATCAACTCTTGCTGCGGGCTCGTCCGTCCTTTGGGTCGTTTTGCCCGCTCCTGATCCAACCCCACGCTTTCGTTTTGCTGCAGAATCTGAAGATGTCGTTTCTTCATTCTGATCAGGGGCTGCATCATTGTCCTCTTTCTGTTCTCCTGAGTCATCCTCCTCTTCTGGCAGTTTTTCTGGTTGCGAATCACCACCGAACCGATAGACTCGACCAAAACTCATATCCTTGATTGCATTTTCGGCCTCGTTTTCCCATTCAATTTCGAAATCCAATCTCCCAGGCATAAACCCGGCAATTTCGTGATTAGTAGGCGCGGACGATACTGGCTTAGGCGGGGGCATTTCTGTTCAATAACGGGAAATTTTGAGACAAGGATTCAGTTGTTGGAAAGCATTGTTGATTGTTTGTCGTGAAGATCTTGTAATCCATGAATCAAAAGACTGACGTAATGGGCGTGCGTGAACTTCCTCTAGTCTTCTCTTTTTACGAGCTTGAAACTCGTCCTGATCTATGTCAATTCTAGCATCAATTGGCTGATAGAAAGATATACAAACAGTCAAATGTTAGCTCTTGGCAAGCTATCAATGGCAGGTTGAGACTTTGACCGACAGGAAGTGGGTAATCATCACTACCAATGAATACGTCCAGATAATGACGTTCAACTTCTTCCTTTGTCCGACCATTCCCCACGTGGTCGGCAATGTCACTCCAGTTCCCAAGTCCATAAATTTGACAGGCCTCAATCAAAAGCAGCTCTCTAGATGATTCAAAACAGGGATAAATTTTGATCAGGAGGGACTCTGAACGGTTTTTTTTTTTTTTGCTTTATTTCATCAGCTTGAAAAGGCTTACTCGTCTGCACCCCAATCTTCGGTAAAGATTGGAACCGAGTGCGGTTCCTGTTACATAAAAGCAATGCAGCGAGTAAACATATAAGTATGTACCCCCATTGATCGAGTTGGAGTTGAGAGGTGAGGTGAGGGAAGTTTACAGACGATTACTCGATAATCATGCCAGGCTTTGTGTTGACCAATCTCTTTCCCTTCACAGAAGCATTGACCACACAGATCGAAGTTGTCACAGACGAGGGCAGACTGGGTGAGGATCTGAGCCCCGAGGTTGGTGGTCACATTCTGGCGATGGGCGCATCTGATCCTGACAGTGTTTGAGATATCTGCCGAGCAGCCGTCACAGTGATATTTGACACCAGAGGTACCTGCTACAAAGATGATGAGAAAGGCCGATGAGAAGAAGGGAGCACATTTAACACAGTGGCTACCACAGAAGACAAGGGTGTTGGATGGAAGATGAGAGAACAAGGGCGAGATGAATGATGAGTTGATTGATGCAGATAGAACAACACATTAGATAGATGCATGTATCGATTGTGTACACATATGGTAAGGTGGCCATACAAACAGGAGGGTGATATGAGATTAAGGTGGTGCTCGAGTTGATGGTCAAGAGGGAGGGGGGTGGGTTGCTGTTGACCTACCAGGTTTGGTTGAAGGCTCGTTTGGCTGGTTCTTTGTTGTCTTGCGTTTTGTAGCGGTCATCGGATCCTGGGTGGGTTTGGGGGTTTTTAAGCTTCTTGACCGTCTCGCCCTCGAACTTGCCAACAGGCCTCCATCGAGCATACAGCCGCTGTGTGTATGTGCTGGGCGCAGGGGCTGACTGAGCGATCGCCCGTTCGACGTCAGGCGGTCGCGGTGCGGACCAAAGCACTCCCCAGAGGCCCCCGGAGACTACATACATGGCCATCAAAACCGGCCAAGGACCGCCCAGAAATCCAGGGATAGTTTGCCACTTGGGCCCCCCAATGTAGACAATTCCTACTGGTTGGGCGGATCAAAAGTTGGCAACATCACCTAGCACACTTTTTCTGTTTTCTTCCATGAATCCATATCCATTGCCGCCCTCATCGGCTGGCCCCTTTTGGCAGCATCATAAATATAAATCTAATATTGCAAAACAAATAAAATAAAAACCAAACTGATCACAAATATGTATGAACAGATAAACTACTGCTTACATAGAATGGGGTACTAGTCTATCTTGAGCACCGTAATACCAATATTACACTTTTGACACATAAAATGTAATGTTGGCATTATGGTGCTGAAGAGGGCTCGATAAATCAATTTTGTTCTCTACATACGTTGAGAAAAGTAGGAGTTCAGATTTCTTAAAAAGCAATGAGGTTGGTTTGGTTTTTATTCAATAAAATCTGCAATATTACACCAGTGACCAGTATTTGTAACATTGCCAAATGGGGTTTTAAGTTTCAACACATAGGGTTGCACTCAAAGTTCAGATAGAAAGAAAGGTCTTCCCATAACCCAATAAGTGACACTTTTTTGGGGACTCACTCAGTTCAGGGGAATGTTAAGCTCTGGCTAATAAATTTATGGGCCGTAAGTGGGTTGTAGACTTGATATTTAAACTTTGGATAACTCAACAGTTACAATGGCAAAATACCAGAAGAAAATGATTCTAAAAGTTATTTGAATTTATTGATAGTTGGCCCTGATGCATCCAGGAATACAATTGATTTGTATAATCTCTAAGTATTTATATAGAGAAGTTGAGAACTAAACTATCAAATAATATATATTGCGAGTAGATAAGGAATACTTTTCTTTTTACACGTTTATTTCTGTTTTAGGGTTGTGCTATAGTCCAAATAGAGGTGAACAGGAGGCTAGTTTTGCCAAGCTCAAAGTGGCGATGATCCAGGCGGATGGATTATTTTGTGAGGATTTGGACCTAGCGATTAGGAGGGGTGAGATGCTCATTTCACGCTCCCATGGTGGCCGAAAAGATTTTGTTTTGGCTACATTGTCGTATTCGCAGATAGAACATGCTTGAAAAAATAATGGCCAACGTCAGTTATCTTTATTTGAGACCCAGAAACATCTGCCTCTCCTGGAGGAGTGTCAGTCGTGATAGCATTGTCGACTTCTTCCAGGCAAGGCTTGAAAGTCTTCGGTGTCGAAGATATGAAAGGAAAAGGAAAATCACTAGCTTACCGGTGCGATCTTCACAACTTCCGGCACACACGAACTTGATCCCGTTGATGTCTTCACAGACTAGTAAATTTAAGAGGCAATTCAAGTCAGCACTTGCTTGAAAGGAAAAATGACAGCTAGGTGAGAACCAGCTCACAATTTTGTTGGTTTTGTATGTGGTAAGACATGCACTTGACTTTGACCATCATCCCAAAATCTGACCTACATCCTTCGCAGGCTATCAAGAAGCAAATCAACGGCATAATAATTCGAAGTTAGATCGTATCGGTCGACTGACTGATTAGCAAAATTAAGAAAGTTATATAAAAGAAAGAACCGAGACTACTAACTGGCGGTTCCAATGCATGAGTCAGCCACACAAAATGCGAAAGTTTTTTCTCCCGACTCGGATTTGCAGGCCAATTCTTTTGCTGTGAAAAATTTGGCATGTATGAGACTCTGGGCCTCGGTGTTGATATTTTTGGAAATTAGATGATAAGATAAACTCACTTACTTGGTGGAGGGCCGTTTATACTAAAAGGTTGGACTGGATTCGAAAGGGGAGTTGCCATGATGCTCGGCCTTGTACCGGATGCAACGGATGAGAGGAGTGGATTGGCGGTGGTGCTCTTAGGCTGATATTGAGTTACTGGAGCGAGAGATTGGTCGCATCTGAACACCTTCCCGCTGACAGTATTATTCCTGGACTGGAGTAAAAGAGTAATAAAACCCAAAAGACGTAGTACTGGTGTGCCCGAGAGGGTCATGGCGGCAGAAGTAATGTCTGATGAGATGATTGCCACACGAAATACCGAGCTCACCAATGTGTGGATCAACCCTCGAGAGTTAGGCTACGAATAGGATGGAGCAGAAAAACAGAGCTCCTCAAAAAATGTGTCTCCAGATGCATTTGGCTTTCACAGTGCTATATATTCGACCAACAAGGCGATGAGTGATTTGCCTGGTCGAAGTTTCCTTTGGTAGCGTTGCACCGCTCTCTACCTTTCGAGCAAGGCTAATGATACGAGATCCGACGGTTCAATCGGCTCAAAGCGGTCTAAATAATTCCTGTTTTAGTTCGTTTGGAGTGATGTTCACGGAATAACAAACTGGTCCAAGTGGCTTTCTCTCCTCATTGCTATGCTGGTTGATGGCATTTAAAAGCATGTTGAGCAAAAGGCTTCCTATTCCCACACATCAAGCTGTTCAAAAACTATTCAAAAACAAGCATTTCAGGGAAACCTGAAGCACACCGATGATTTTTTAGCCGAATCAGTGGTACCCCAACATTGTTGGAATTCAATTCCTTGTCTTATCCCTCAAAAGAGGAGAGCATCAGGTGAGTTGATCACATAATGAGCCTCAGAAACGCATAAAATAAGCATTTTTTGTAACTCACTTCACCAGCATGTGACCGATCGAGTCGAGGACCTCAGGATCTTTTCTTTGGGTCCTGTACAACACCTCAGCAACATGTAGGTGTTGCTCAGTTGAGTTGTTGTGTCCAAAGGGTGCTCAGCAAGTTCTCAATTTTATGATAAAACGAAGCAACCAGAACAAATTTTAAGTAGGGTCAGAAGCAAAAAATTCAAATGTGAACCCCGCTAATGATTCCATTGCGCTGATCATGAAACGTGTGAATGGATGACTTCCCATCAATATCTGCAGGTCTCCCAGAAGCAATTTAGAGCCTCAAAAGCTAGATTTCCCAGCAAAATTATAGACTTTTTGGGTCTAAATCGACATCTGCGAGGGTCCCAGATCCAACGGGAAGTCCTCCATTATCAGCAGAAATAGGCTGTTCAGTAGATGAACAAGAGAAAGGCACGATCATAGCTTATGCATTGAGTAGTGATGTCATTGACATCACTAGCAAGGAGAAAAATAATGATCATGATTGATCATCAAGCTCTAGGTGAGTCTCAATGAGTTGAATCAAAAGAACAAGAATAAGAACAAGATAACAATTGAGTTCTCATTCTTCGTTCAACAAATCATTATTAAAAATCTTTAGCCTATCAAAACGCAAAACTTATCACTCGAATATTTCCACCGTTAGTCAGTGAGTAAAAAGAAGAGAATTAATTGCCTTTTTCTTATCATAGAAAAAGAGAAAAGTAAACTAACTAATCTATCGTCGATTATTCTTTATTAGACTCATCAAACAGACAGGACATTATCCATTACTTAATACAAGGAATTTATCCTTATCATTCAAAGTAATGTATTTCCATTACTTTTGTGCTAAGGAAACATTTCACTCTAGGAAAAAAGACTAACATCAGAATGATCTTCTGATAATTTATTCAGCTGTTATAATTATCTTAATCTGAATAATAAATTAGTCTATCCAAAGGCATTTTCTATTATTAAGTATCATGTTTAAGACTATCACATCAGTCTTGCCTTCAGGTACTGCTCTGATTTCTGTCTTATCATATTATCAATTGTATTTATTTAAAATAATATATACTTATAAAGAAATTAAACTTCCTTCAGTTCCAAAATCTTTCAAACATGACCAGTCCCTGCTGACTTGCCTTGGGCTAGCTCAGTGGTGCATTGCCCCAGAAGGGTGTATTGGCTCAAAAAGAGAGTAGTCAGGATTCAAGTCTGGGGGAAGCTACAGTTGATCAGCTAAACAGGACATATATGTTATCCTTGTCTCACAATCACTTGTAATTTCATTAAATAACTCACAAACCACTCTTCCTCAGATAAAAGCACTGGCTTTAACCCTAGTAATGAAACAGAAAATATTGAGGGTCCATCAATTGATGTGTGATTCCCAATTAGACCTGAAGCAATATCAGTGTGGAAGGACTTGAATGAATCTTCTAGTACTCTAGGTGAAGCTTTTCAAACTCATTTTCAGTCACTCTAAATCCTATTATCATTACTTTCAAAGATGTGGTTTCACCATAACTTGGATCAGTTTTATGGCTAAGACTTTACCAGACAAAATCCAATTTTACAAATCAAAATTAAATGCTAGTGGTGGTGGTTAGAAATTCAGTGAATCAGTTTGAGTGAAAGGAATTGATGTAGGAAGAGTAAGATTTAGACAATAATACTGTAGGTCATAGTGGTAAAAAATATTCTGCAGCAGGCGTTTTGAAATGGCCTCATGAATCTGCTGCCTTTGATGGTCCAGCATCACCAATGGTCCCAATGAGGTCCAGAAGAGGATATACAAATTCTTTGTTGTAGTGATGAGCACAGGTTTTATCAGGATTATCTCTTGGGGCACCTTGGTTTTGGCGAAAGAATCTGTGACAAGTGTGACACTGAAAGTATAACTTGATGCGCCTGTTTTTGCAATTCACATAGGCTCCCTTCCAGACAAGTTCTCCGCAATCACCTTCCAGCTCAAATCGTTTTCCTATGACTTCTGCTTGTGATAATTGTCTACTCTTCCCACAACCTATCTGGGCACATCTGACAGGTGGAAGTGCAAGAGTATTCATGATCAGCTGCAAGCTGACAGCACAAACAATGATGAACCTTGTAAAATTCATGGGGGCGTAATTTCAATAGAGGAATTGTTGATCCTTGAGGGCCTTGAGTGGGATTTTAACAGGCAACCTGCGTGTAGTAATGGGTGGCTGGGTGTAATGCAAGATGCTGAACTACTGTTGAGCTATGTAGGTGGTACTGAATAACCTTTCCATCTCACTAAATGAAGCCAGATACCAATTTTAGGCAAAAATATCAGAGAAATCAAGAAGAATTCTAGGAAACAAGGAAATATGAAGCATCTGGGATGAAAAAAAGGAAACAAAATGATTGGAGAAATGAAATTTATGTCTTATGTGTGTGTGTTTGATCAGAAATAAAAATCTCCTGTAAATCTGGTCTAGAATTACAGCCGGTAGTAGAAGACTTTCCATCAATTGTCAGCCTTAGAGCCAGCCAAGCTGGCCAAAAGACTGCCTAAGTCCCCCCTTTTCATCCATGTTCCAACTGTAACTTATTCAGCTTAAGATTTTATTAAATTCTGACTTCAGAAATTAATTCCTCATTCAATTTCAACCATGGTCACAACTGACCAGTTTTACACTACTCTTCTCCTTCATTGACTTTGTAACATTTCACCATACCTTGTGAAATACCAACCAAATTAGAATTCCATCCCTCCCAACCAAATGTACATGTAATTATTATGTCATCCAACTTTGAAAATACTCTCTGAGCTTGTTGATTCTGCTTCCAGAGGATTTTCAGACTCCAGACACACCCAGAACCACAACAACCAGTACCAGATCCAGCCTACACTTATCAACCAGAAGAACCTTACTTTTCCTGCCTTTCCCACTACTCAGTGTCATTGGTGTCATCAGTAAGTTGCTTCTTTTAAGTCTAGCTAGCATATTTCTGCTTGTTCCCTTCTCTGTCACTCTCACCCTTTTTCTCTTCCTTCTCTAAACCAAAAGCCCTGATCAACCAAAGCTCCACTAGCTTCAAAGATTCTTCTCCTTTCTTGTTTGGTAGTAAAACTGAAAACTACATAGGTTTCCCTTTAAAGAACCTTGATCATCCCTGATCTAAAAAATTGTGGTTGACTTGATTTATCAGAGTCAATAACCCATTTCAGTTTCCTTTGATTTGGAGGCGTAGAGTTAGCTCCGCTTATAACAGCTACCCTCAGAGGAAGTAAGACTGTCAGAATCTAAATAATCATAACAAAATGAATAAATAACAAAAAGATTATTCATTTCTATTCTTTCTCTTCTTTCCCTCTCTCCTGCTTTTATTTGTATTTCCTTCCTCTTGAGAAATACATATAAAAGTGCCCCCCAAAACCTTGTGTCCTGCTGTCACTATTGAGACCCAGGCTCACATCAATCTGGAAAGCCCTCTTAAAGCCTACACAATGGTCTTCATTAGGCGGTATCAGATATAGGGAATCTACCATCAGAGACCAGGCACTTTTCCAAGACTTTTTTTTTGCATAAATGGGCTCCAAAAGGGTTTA